ACCGACTTACCAATTTCAGCAAAAGAACATCTAGAATGTCTCTGATAATGTCGTTTATCGCTTCGAAACTTTCATCGGTTATATTTTTAAGGCAAAGCCTACACGAAGTTTCCTTAACTTCACTCATTAGTCAGCAACAATCTTCTTTTACGTATAAAAAAGAACACGGATATAAAAAACAAAAATATAAATCTTCACTTCTAACCTTCTTGGCTTCTTACGACTATCAGCACAGTTGGGGACTGTGGTTGGTTAGGAACACAGAACACAGTATACTAATCAAATAGTATACTGTGGTTAGTAGAGATGAGCAATATTTCGACACCGGTGAATTAGAACCGGTGATTTCAAAATCACCGGTATTCCCGGTTACCGCAATTTTAAAATAACCGGTTTGCAGTGACTACGTCGGGTATTTGCGATTTGTGCTTGCTATTTCATTTCAGTGATTGTTGACCGGCGATGTTGCGAATCATGCCGATTGCCTTCGCCTGTGGTCCGTGGTTGGCAATGTTTTTCACTGGGTCCCCCTAAACAAGAAATGTATTTCCTTCCCGATAGCGATCGTGTTCGCGTCATCTAGCGGTATACGACAAAAGTTTTGTTTAATACAGTCTTGTTTTGCAGATTGCAGCAATTTTAGAGTTTAGTATTTACATTTTACGATTTGGTTAACGTTAAATTTTAAAACTTTAAGTTAAGAATATTTTATAATTAAATTTACCGGTAAGTGAGTGTAACTGTATTATGTTTTTTATTTATATATTTATATATATAGACTGGTAAAGAAACAAAAGATGTCGGGGCGTCAAAATAAAAGTAGTTTATGGAATTTTTTCACACCCGTCCCGGAGGAAGACCACAAAGCGTCCTGCAATATTTGTAAAAAGAAATTATCATATAGGACAACAAATTCTAATTTAAAAAAACATATGACTACAAATCACCCCACAGTTAATTTAACTCGCGAGATACGGGCTTATGAGCCAAATATAATTGAAATTGTTAACGAGCCCGGTCCATCAACAGCTATCGATAACGGAAACTTGACGCCAAAAGTTGTTTCTAACCCTGGAACTTTAAAACAAAACTTCGATTCCAAAAGCGCTGTTATCAGAAGGACAAATCAGACAACACTCTCATCCTACATCCCCCGAAAAATTAATTTGCAATCACAAAAATATATTAATGAGAAACTTTTAAAGTTATTTACAAAAGATTTGCAACCATTTAAAGTAGTGGAGGATCAAGGATTTCGGGAATTTATTAACGCTTTAAACCCAGCATATCAGTTACCAAGTAGGCATTATGTTTCGAAAACAATGTTGCCCGCAGCCTATGAAACATGCTTAAACGATACACAGGAATTGGTAAAAACAGCAAGGAGGGTATGTTTAACTACGGATACCTGGACATCGTTGTCGACAGAAAATTATATGGCAGTAACTATTCATTTTCTCAATGAAAATTTTAATTTAAAATCTATTTTACTTGAATGCGCTGTTTTATCAGGATCGCATACATCTGCTAATTTAGCAGAATCGCTTAATAATATTGCTGATAAATGGGAAATAAAAGAAAAGATTATATTAGCTGTTTCAGATAATGCAGCAAATATAAAGAAAGCCCTTTCTGAGCCTCCTTTGCAGTGGAAACATTTTGGATGTCTAGCCCACACAATCAATTTAATAGCCCAAGATAGTCTAAAAATTCAAGAAATAAAATGTCTCATTGATAAATTTAAAACTATTGCGGCGTATTTTAGACGAAGTCCTCAGGCAACCGAAAAACTTTTAACATATCAAAAATGTCATACTCCAGACCAGCCACCATTAAAATTAATACAAGATATCCAAACACGATGGAATTCTACATACTATATGTTGGAAAGATTTGTACAATTGGAAGATACGGTAAAAAGTACAGTGGCCCTAATTGAAAAGGATCTTCCACATTTAAGTGCACTCGACTGGCAGGTGGCTAAGGATTTGTGTAGAGTACTAAAGCCGCTGGAAAATGCAACAAAAACGATCAGTGGGGATCAATATATAACAGGATCAATGGTAATTCCTTTAACAAATGGAGTTTACAGTGTTTATATGAATTTAAAAAATAAAAATAATATCCAGGAAAGTGCTATGAAAGTAGTTATTTCCATTATAAAAGGGTTAGACGATCGACTTGGTAATTTAGAAAGAAGTAAAACATTTGCAGTTAGCACATATTTAGACCCCCGATTTAAAGCGTATGCTTTTAAAGATGAAATATGTGCAGAAACTGCCAAAAAAATAGTTACGGCCGCCGTGGCACATCATGTTTCATTAAAAGCAAAACCAACTGGTGACCAAGTCGAAAAAGTGCCAAATACTGAAGACTCTCGTGTAGATGAAGATGACGAATTATCAATTTGGAGTTCCCTAGAAAAATCAACAGCTACCGTAAAACCGAAAGGAACTGCAACGTCTAGGGCCCTGATGGAAGTTCAGCGATATATGGAAGAGGATTTGCTTCCCCGAAACGATAATCCTCTTGACTGGTGGCGAGAACATAAATACAGTTACCCATATTTAAGTATTGTCGCTCAAGAAAAACTCAGTATCGTCGCTACCTCGGTACCATGTGAGCGTATTTTTTCTAAAGCTGGATTGGTAATTTCAGATCGCCGAAATAGACTAAGTGGCAATAAAGTAGATAAAATTTTATTTTTAAATATGAACACTTAAGTTTTAGGTACCTACCTAACGACATATTTTAATATTCATGTTTTGTTTCCTTTTTACGAGTTTATTATTTGTTAGATATCCTATCTAATTTAATTTTATGTTATAAATGTCTATTTGTTTTTTATTTTTTATATATTTATTTCCGTTAAAAGCATTGTATTTATTTATTTTTATAATTAAAATATATGATATAGTAAAATAAATTGTTTTAAATTATTTAAATACCGGTCTCCAATTTAAAAATATGCGACAAAATATAAACTATCAACCAATAGAATCTGATATTTTAATGTTATTATTACATATTACTCAATAAACATTGCAAGTTAGAACAATTAATATTTTCTCCCACCGGCGAATCAGTGAAACAGCGACCCGACACCCGACCAATACCACGGAGATGATCCAGCTCGAACAAAACCAGTGATTTTCGCCGGTAAAAATCACTGTTATTTGTGAGTCGCTGATATATTATTATCGGTGATCGCAAAATCACCGGTAAGCTCATCTCTATTCTAGACACATGGGGCTATCTATATTATTTTTTTGTACAAAAAGGGTACCAATTAATTAGTAAAAATCCCCAAAAATCGTCCGTTTTCACCCCAGATGACGGTACTCGGTTCTCGGTCTCGGACAATCATTCGATTCTTAAAAGTATTCGAGAACCGAGTTCTCGATTCTTAAAAATACTCGATTCTGCCCATCACTAATCTGGCTGGGATAGTACTAACGTTTTCTATGGCGCTGCGCGCTACCAGAAGAAATCGAAAAGGTTAGAAGTAACGGGTTTATATTGTTGTTTATGTGTTCTTTTTTCTTTTTAGACTTACAATAAGATTGTTGCGAAGCAATGACTGATGTTAAGAAAACTTCATGTAGGCTTTGCCTTAAAAATATAACCGATAAAAGTTTTGAAGTGATAGACAACATTATCAGAGACATTCTATGTGTTCTTTTGCTGAAATTGGTAAGTCGGTGGAATATAATTAGATTAGATCTTAACAGACCCAAGCGTAAAGCAACCTTTAATTGTTATTTTCCGCCACAGTTATTTTCTTTCTGCTTAAAGTTGCATATTTTTCAGAAATTTGATAGGTGGAGCAAAGAGATTATATGTAACGTTTGCAGAAGAAAGTTAAATACTGCGTGAGAATTTAAGTCAACGTGTCTGAATACCAATAATGCAATTATTCCTTATGTGGATAGCGAAAAAATGTTACAGCTGGACATAAGAGAAGTGTACTTGCAGCAAAAGAAAAGCGAGTTAGTTGATATTTCTTGCAGTCAGAAAATATGTCGATTGTGTATGCACCCAGCAGAAAGTGGGTTTAGGTGCATACGTGAAGAGGAACTTGAAGCTATTCAGCGATTGACTCCTGAAATTGTATGAATGATCTTAAATACTTGCACTTCTCCGAATATAAAAAACTTACTTTGCAGGTTGTAAACATCGTCAAAGATCCCATTGTATGTAAGTCGTGTTTTGAATCTTTATGCACTCATAACAGTTTCCTAAAAAATTGCTTAAAGGTAGAGGAGAAAATTAAAAGTATTTTTGATTTTTCAGCCACAGAATGTCAAATAGATATGTCACCACCTGATTTATTGGTCAAGACTGAAAACTTGGACAAAGAATTCGATATTAGCGAGATGAAAATGTCGATCAAAGCTGAATGTGTCAACATAAAATCTGATACCTGTCATGATTTATACGATTAAATGTGTACCATTTGGTGATAAACTAATTGTAACAAATTATGATGTTGCTTATAAGCGATGTCGTAAAAATTTTTATACAATCATGAAGAATAGGTTGACAAATGATTTGGGAAAAATGTAAAATCATTATAAAACAATCGGTGGGTACAAAAAATGCTGTACTAGGTTTCATTCATTCAATCAATTATTTTTTTAACTTTGGGCAGAAATCGCAATTCTCTTGGAAAGAAAATGATAGATCTCTGAGTCACAAAACAAATAGTGGTTATGTAAGCAGATTGCAAGAAGAAAACCAATTTTTACGCTATTTTTTAATGTTAATTTAATTCAAATTTGAAAAATGTTTTTTAAAAATCTTATCAAATGAAGTCAAACAATATTTTATACCAGAAATCTAGGTTAGGTATGCAAAAGGTGTCTTACTTCTTAGACAAGATTCTTCATTGGTAATATTGCAGAAAACAACTATTTTATGGGCTACTTGCCCCAACTGGCATCGAATATATATCACAGGAATATCTAGTAACAACTAGTAATATACACAAATTTTTTTAGAACCTGACATATGCCAGCTTTTTTATTTGATGTGATAGACCAAATGCAATGTTATAGGAAATAACTTGACTAAGAAAAATTTACAAATAGTGCTTTCCGGTGTTGCCAGATTTCTTCAGTGGCTGTTTAAACAATATTTTTTTAAATGGCAACACTATTTTTTTAACAAACAAATTAAACACTTTTTTTAGCAAATTAAGTGTCCAACCAAAAACATCAACTGAGGGTTATTTGAGATATAAAATATAAGCAACCCTGAACATAACTGCAGATTATTTTCGTTGTTTTTTTTCTGATTGTTCCAAAACGGCTACTCCAATAAAGAAATGTGCCATAGCATTTTTTATTTAGAATTTGAGGATTTGTCAAATTACGCTAAAAAAATATGGTGTTGCCAATTAAAATAATCTTGTTTAAGCAGCTACTGAAAAAATCTAGCAACACGGAAAAGCATTATTTATATATTTTTCTTAGTCAAGTTATTTCCTACAACTTTGCATTTGGAAGTACTAGTCTATCACTTCAGATAAAAAAGTTGTCCTATGTGTGATGTTAGAAATGAAAGCAAGCACTGAACCAGGGTCATACATACATCTCATTAATTTCAAATGTAAATATGCCCGTTTATTGTAGTAATTTTTTTGTGAAACACAATATTTCGGCATGTGTCACCTATAACCCCTTAAAATTAAAACCTGATTTTCAAAAATACCTTATATACAGGGTGTAACGTAAAGGTTGGGAATAAATTAAACGGTGGATTCTTTAGTTTAAAAAATAAATTTTTGTCATATGAAGTTATGCTCTACGAGTTTTCTTTTCCAAGTTACAGGGCGCTAAAAAATTTCAAAAAAATTAGTTTTTCTCCAATAACTTTCGAACATTAGAAGATTATGGAATGAAATTTTATCCATAGCTTAATTTGATAATTCCCTAGTAACAGGAAAAAGATTGGCTTTGTAAGTTACTCAGTGGCGTGCATACATCTTATACCGTAAGGTTTTTCGAAGAAAATTGTGGTACGCCACTGGTAAAAACATTTTTTTAATATCTTTTTATGACGCACATTTTATTTTAAACAAAATTACCCTCTTGCGTTTTATTCCTAGCTCTTGTCATTTTTCCGCAAATAAAACTTTTGTAAATACCATTTTTCCCCGCTGCTAACATAGAAAAATGAAAATAACAAAACATTATGATGTATGCTTTGACTCAGCCACCGAAAATGGTCAAATAGGCATTAAAAAAAGACTTATTTGTATTGAAAATGATATTAAAGTATCACATTATTTTAACAATAATAAAAAAACACTAGTGACTTAGGAATTTAAAGAATTTATTGAGTAGGTAATAAGAAATAATAAACAACAAACAAGATTACAAAAGGTGCTGGAAATGTTGCCCCCCAACTTCAGTACATTTTTCAATGCGTTTTCTCATGGATTCTCTTACTCGTCCAAAAATTCCAGGCATATCTCGAATTAGCTGACAGCCCATTTCAACTCTTTGACGAAGAATCTGTACATCAGAAATGGGAACGGAATAAACTATGGTTTTTAAGTGCCCCCACACATAATAGTCTAACGGATTAAGTTCGGGAGAACGAGCAGGCCACGCTCTTGGCCTTACACGACCTATCCATTTATTGGGGAACGTTTCATTGAGGTATTCTCTAACTTCTCGCCTAAAGTGAGCTGGGGCGCCATCATGCATAAACCACATGTTCTGGCGTGTTTCAATTGGAACTTCTTCTAAAGTCGCACAGCTAACACAGTATTCCCGTTGGCAAGGCCGTAAATAAAATGCATATCTGCTAATTCTGGAAATGAGTAGTCCATTTCTAACAGATCTAAACCAAAATACAACCGTTTAAGGAAAGCTAAATGTCATAACTGACGATGATGTTTTGTCTGAAAACATCTGAAAACAAATTTTGGTGGCTTGGTCAAAGCATACTTCATAATGTTTTTATTTTCATTTTCCTATGTTAGCAGTGGGAAAAAATAGTATTTACAAAACGTTTATTTACGGAAAAGTGACAAGAGCTAGGAATAAAACGCAAGAGGGTAATTTTGTTTAAAATAAAAAGTGGATAATAAAAAAATATCAAAAAAATGTTTTCACCAGTGGCTTACCACAATTTTCTTCGAAAAACCTTACGGTATAATCCGTACGCACGCCACTGAGTAACTTACAAAGCCAATCTTTTTCCTGTTACTCGGGGATTATCAAATTAAGCTATGGATAAAATTTCATTCCATTACCTTCTAATGTTCGAAAGTTATTGGAGAAAAACTAATTTTTTTTATATTTTTTAACGCCCTGTAGCTTGGAAAAGAAAACCCGTAGAGCATAACTTCATATGACAAAAAATTATTTTTTAAACTAAAGAATCCACCGATTAATTTATTCCCAACCTTTACGTTACACCCTGTATGCAATTTTTTCAGCGACGCACCACTGCAGAGCTCCAGTATTGTACCATTCGAGGAGAGTGACTGTAAAGATGCAGAAGAGGATGGATGTAAATATGAGACTGGATCAGAAATGAAAACTAAGCAGGAGCACAAAGTATTGTACAAATGTGATAAATTTTTATGAGACTGGAAGTGAGATCCGTTTTACAGTACACTGTGCGAGACACGAGAACGATTTGGAAGTGTACAAATGTGAATCATGTGAGTACGAAACTAAAAAGGAGAAATTACTTCAGAGGCACATGTTGAGGCATAAGGATCCTTTGCAGATTCAAATGTACAAGTGTAATACCTGCACATACGAAACTATATACAAGGTTAACATGAAACGGCACCAACTGAAGCATAAAGAGCCTTCGCAGGTTCAAATGTACAGGTGTAGCGACTGCGATTATGAAACTAAACGCAGGAGTAATATCAAACAGCACCAGATGAAACATAAAGAGCCTTCGCAGGTTGAGATGTACAAGTGTAACAACTGCAATTACGAAACTAAATACAAGAATGCTATAAAACTGCACCATCTGAAACATAAAGATCCTTCACAGGTGAAAATGTACAGGTGTAATGACTGCGATTACGAAACTAAATACAAGAATCATATCAAAACGCATCAACTGCGACATAAACAGCACTCGCAGGTTCAAATGTACAAGTGTGACAACTGCAGTCACGAAACTAAATACAAGGTTAGTATGAAACAGCACCAACTAAAACATAAAGACCCTTCACAGGTTCAAATGTGTTCAGGTGTAATCACTGTGATTATGAAGTTAAACGCAGGAGTGATGTCAAACAGCACCAGCTGAAACATAAAGAGCCTTCGCAGGTTCAGATGTACATGTGTAACAACTGCGATTACGAAACTAAATACAAGAGTGCTATGAAACTGCACCATCTGAAACATGAAGATCCTTCACAGGCTCAAGCATACAGGTGTAACGACTGCGATTACGAAACTATGTACAAGAATGTTATCGAACTGCACCAACTGAAACATAAAGATCCTTCGCAAGTCAAAATGTACAAGTGTAACGACTGCGATTTTGAAAGTAGGTACAAGAATAATATTAAACTGCACCAATTGAAACATAAAGATCCTGTGCAGGTTCAAATGTACAGGTGTAACGACTGTAGTTACAAAACTAAATACAAGAATGCTATCAAACGGCATCAGCTGACACATAGAGAAGGTGAACCGACTGTGATATGAATCCAAATGCAGGAGTGGTGGTCAATTGATGCACAAAAAATGGTCTGCGGGTGTGAATTATCACCCTTTGTTCGTCGTGCAAAATATTGTCGTTAATGGAGACATTTGGATAAAACGCTGATCGTAAATATGTGAATACGAAGTAAAACGTAACCCCGCCTTGAAGTACATCGGTTGAATCAGGAAAACCTGACCGGAACGGAGGCCAACAAGTTATTTTGGACATATCTAATTTACGTCATGTCAACTGTCATCTCTATATCTCTACAAATAGAGTTTTTTGGCGAAAAAACTGCTAACCTAACGTGGTTAACTAAAGTTAACATTTGACACTTTCGCAATAAATGAATTTAACCATAAGTTAACTCGGTTTGGCCACGTTTGGCTGAGTTTATCAAACCACATATATAGTTTTTTGGCGAGAAAATCGTTAATGCAGTTAACTACCTATAATCATTGTTTAACTACTACTACTACTACTAAATCAACGAAGATATTTAAACAATGTGTAGTTTAACGGTTAGATGTGTGGGTTAACCTGGTTTGTCCGAGTTTACCAAACCAGTAAACTGTCTTTGTCTAATTATGTTATGTTTCACCTACGAACTTTGCTCGTAGTGTTTCACACGTTCACACGTTAGTCTAGTAGTCTACCACTCTACCAATTTCAGCAGTTCCGATTTTTAAAGAACAGATATTTATTAATAATTATATTTAAATAATTATGCCTATCTATACATTGTACAATAACTATTTAATTTAAATATAAACTTTATGTATAATTTGTGATTATTAAGGCTAGACATCTAAAATCCAACCAAAAGAATTTTCGTGAGATCTGTCAAGTGGCTAACTTTTAACACAAAAAAACTACTTTAACCGTCAGAAAAACTAAAGGAAAACCCTTTTTGTTAAATAGCAGAACCAGAGATTAGTAAAAAAAAGGTATTATAAATCGGTAAATCTGTACTTCCCGCCAACTTGCGCTACAGCAGCACCTATCTTGATGCATTAAAATCCTTGCAGAGCTGGGAGTATTTTGTTAAAAAAATACCTACCAAATCATATTTTAAATATAAAATAGTATTTTGTAATTAAAATCGTTTTTTTATAACTCCAAAATTATTTTGTATTAAATACCTAAAATACCTACCAAAAACAAATACTTTGCCTGTTAGACTTACAGAGATAAGGCAGGACAAAGAGGGATAGTCGCCCTCGGTCCCAAATTATCGAGGCCACGTTTAACGCCAAAAATAACGGCGCGGTACAACACATGCTAAAAAAAAATACCCACCTGCACGTCGGATTTAGTGCATTCTACAATGTGCGTTGTGTTAGTGCTATTCTGTCTACTACCTTTTAGGTCACTATCATCACTAGTCAAATTTAATTTTTTGATCTTGAAATCGGACTTGCCTTGCACATACAATATATTTTTTAGTCAGATCTTAAGAGTTTCAGATTTAATATTTCACAAAAATATTTTAAATACTCTAATGAATATTTTCAATATATTTAATATTCAACATACTTAAAAAACTATTTTAAATATTAATTAATTTATACTAAATAAGTGTCGCAACGGAAAACTGTAAATTCCTCTTAAAAAAAGAAACATTCTTTTCCTCTTCCATTTTTCTCTCCGGGCTTTCGTTTTCGAGATACACGGTGTCAAAACTTTAATTTTTTTTTTAGTTTTTCGCCAATATCTTAGAAATCGTTTGAACTACAGGACTGAGCTTTTGTACACACATTACCACTATTAATAGCTACTTTTTCGCACCCTTCTCGAATTCATTGGACGTGCCAGTGGTGGAGATTTTAAGGTATCGTAAGGGTTTTTCCCCCCCTAAATTTTACGCCACTGGAAAAATTGACTTTTGACAGCAAATTCTAAAGCGCCAATGAATTTTACACAATAAGAGTTCTCTTGGTTCATTGCTCTAAAGTCAACCGTTTTCAAGAAAAATGACTTTTTATGAACAAAAGCAAACATTTTGCTAACGTTTCGAAAATCTTTTGTAATTCAAAAAATAGGTAGTAATAATTAACAATTTTAACGAAATTTAACAACAGATAGGATTCTAACTTTTTTTTATCAATTTGGCGAGTAAAATTTACAGAAACTGTTGAAAATTACGTCAGTTGGCTTGAATACACGCATTACATCTTCTAATGTTTCTTTCTGTCTCTGCGATTTCACCTCTATCGGTCAACTTTTCGATAGTATTGACATGGATTTCATAAACGATGCATTTCGTTCTCCGGATGTTCTGTTCAGTTACTTGCACTTGCAAAATGTTCAAAATGCAAAATGCAAAAAATTTTCGAAACAGCAAAATGTTTGCTTTTGTTCATAGTCATTTTTCTTGAAAACGGTTTACTTTAGAGCAATGAACCAAGAGAACTCTTATTGTATAAAATCCATTGGCGCTTTAGAATTTGCTGTCAAGTCAATTTTTCCAGTGGCGTAAATTTTAGGGGGGGAAAAACCCTTACGATACCTTAAAATCTCCACCACTGCACGTCCAATGAATTGGAGAAGGGTGCGAAAAAGTAGCTATTAATAGTGGTAATGTGTGTACAAAAGCTCAGTCCTGTAGTTCAAACGATTCCTAAGATATTGGCGAAAAACAAAAAAAAAAAATAAAGTTTTGACACCGTGTATCTCGAAAACGAAAGCTCAGAGAGAAAAATGGAAGAGGAAAAAAATGTTTCTTTTTTCAAGAGGAATTTACAGTTTTCCGTTGCGACACTTATTTAGGAACACCCTGTATTTAAAATACTTTGCCAAAGAAGTATTTTGTTTTTAAGTATTTTAAAATACTTTGTACTAATATTTTGTATTTTAAATACGTTTGGGAAAGTATTTTGCCCAGCTCTGAATTCATGTTATTTAAATTTATGTTAAATGTATGGATTTTTCCAATTTATAGGTGAACAAGCAATATAATAAATAAAAAATAGTGGTGGGCTATTTTGTTCTCTAAAAATCCTATTAAAAAAATCGTATATTTGGAAATCAACTTTTTAATTAATCACATTGCGAATGTTTTTTTTAATATGAAATTTAATAACTGTACGTTATTCTGCAACCTTAGTATGTTCCATTAAAAATACTTTTGTCATTTTTAAATACTAATTTTGTAAAAAAAATGCAAAACGTTCATGTAAAAGCGCAAATTACGCCGCTTTTCGACTTTAATTGAAAAGTGTTAAAGAAATAAAAGGAAAAATATTGAAATAAATGAAATATAGCAAGAACTGTTATTAAATTTTAAGGGATGTACAAAAACATGATGTACCCTTGTAATATTGATGTATTTTTTTTTACTTATCTAGTAACAGGGAAATGAAATAAAACAAATAAAAAAAAATAAATATATTTTAGATAAAAGTATAAACATCTTTAGATTTATTTAAAGAAAACAAATCATTTGTTATTTTATAAACAATATATACACAATTTCATCCTTTATTTTAGCTTGGTAGTGTTTGATATCTTGTGTGATTCAGTCATAACGACATTAATTTTAACCTCGTATTCAGAAGGCCCAATAGACAGAAAATCGAAAAAAAAATTTACTCGACCTTTTAAAAGATAAGCAAATTACCCCTTACTTCTGCAACCCTACTTTGCATCACATTTGCTGACTGGGAAAGTGCCGACGCTCCACAGAGCGTTCAAAAGTTGAAGCAAAACAGCTGATTTTCCCTCGTCTTGAATTTTGAAATTGCTTTCAAAATCAAAGCGCAATGAATCCCCATTTTATAAACAAAGTGCTACTGCCCTACTGTCATTTTAAATAGGTAGATACCGTACTATTCTTTGAAAAGCAATAAGTCACACAATTAAAGTATACATACTGCAAACTGAATAATTAATTGAACATAATACTAAAATTAATATTCAATTATAAAACATTCGGAAACGTTAACAATATTAAAAATACTAAATAATAAAATAAAAAAAATACTAAATTAATATTCGAAAACAATTATTATCCTTATAGATTTATTTTTATTAACAAATAAATAATACTTAAATGTAAAAAAATATCTTATTCATTTACGTGTCTAGGTAAAAAGCTCTGTTTATTTGCTGTGGTTCACAATGGATTAAAAATGTATTAAAAGCTAGGCGAGTGACCGAAATTACGGTGGTCAAGATTTTGTGGGCCAGCGGTCAGGAGCAGTCCAAATATGGGTTTTAAATTATTTTTTCCAGCAAAAATATGTTTTTTAAAATTTTTTAACGCGCATTCGTATTCTACTCATTTTTCTCTATCTCCCCTTAAAATTAATGACATTACGACTGAATCTGTGCTTCTTTTTTTGCCATAAAATTAAAAACCTCAGAATAACTGACAAAAGGAAAAAAAAGATATTTTATTGGGCTGATATTAATAGTAATTATAATACGGTACAAAATTGTCGCCCCTGTATAATACATTAAAAAATAAAGGTACCGTTTTATACTGTTTTTAAACCTTTTTTTGAAAATGAGGGTACGGCCGATATTTATTTTATTTATACAAGGTGATTCAGTCATAATGTCATTAATTTTAACCACGTATTCGGAAGGCTTAATAAAGACGGAAATCAGAAAACAAAATTTTTTACTTGACTTTTAAAAATGAAAGAAATCAACCCATAACTCCCGCTAAGAGGGCGGCCCTGCCAGATGCCCAGATGTTCAGAAAATTTTGTAACGAATCAATCGTCGGCTGAAGCGAACAGCGTTGCCAAGTTCATATCATGATCTATGGTTCACATTTAATTAATCCGCTTTAGTATACGGATACATATGTATGAAACCAATAAAATGCAAGTAAATAAAGGATCATGCTGCATTTTATTATAATTTTAATAATTGTATTAACTTAGTGCAAAATGTTTTAACTATCCTGACTTCTCGTAGTCAACTTTCGTTAAAAGAAAATAAATAAAGCTGAGGTTTGTAGGCACACTGTATTTTATCAAATAAAAAAAGTCGGCACACTAAATACCCGAATATACAAAATATACTACACACGGTTACAAAACCATTAAGAATTTAAAGCGTTTATTCAAATCTACCACCCTCCATATCTCCCGCATTTTTCCCGCAAAGGAGTTAACATAACACATTTTCAAAAAGTTCAAGCTTTAGAAGCAGTTGATTTCCCCAATCATCTTGAATTTTGCAATTGGCTCCTAAGTGCAGCAGAACTTTATTAACAAAGTGCTCTGGACGGATGAATGCTGTTTTACTCGTGCTGGCATTTTAAACAGGTAAAAAACATAAGTATTGTTTTCTCATAAACAATAAGTGCCTACCTAGGTTACACCAAAGTTTAGATTTACCCTAAAGTTTACATTTATTATGTAAGCTTTGGTTATACGCAACTGCATATTGAATAATAAAGTGAAATACTAAAACTGTGTATTATTTAACAATAAACTATTATAAAACGTGAAAACGTTAATAATATTAAATGATAAATTGTAATAACCGTACATTCGAAAACAATCCCCTATTCATTCATTACATTCAATTTGATGACACAATTTTCCTTTGATAAGACTGACAACTTTTTGCTCTACTTTGCATGGAATACGATCCTACTACAGTTCATATTAGTCTAGGAGCCAGATCAGGTTCCGTGTACTAATTATAAAAATAAACTTTTTATAGCCATGTAAACATTTAATTTGTTGATAACAATTAAACTGACCATTTTCAGGCTTTGCGACCAAGTTTTTTGAATTCATGTCAAAATACTTTAGAATAAGTTGTTTGTAGCCGTGGCACTCTGGTTGGCAACAGAACCCTGTCTGGCTCCTAGACTAAAGTGCACGTGCAAATTAGAAGGTTATTGACTTCGACACAGGTTAGCCTAAGTCGGAAACACGTACCGAGTTGTTTATTTGTCTCCGTCCGATTGAATTTTTATCTTCTATTACTTACAGTCAATATTTAAATACTACATACATTTCACCCTATCTTTATAATTTATTAAGTGGGTGTTGGTTTTTTGTGTCATTATTTCTGTAATGAAATTGAAATGGTTATGAAATGAAATTTAAATTATTTGAACTCTTGGGGTTTTGTAACTTCAATATTAAATTTTATTTAAAGTGAAACAGAGCTAATTTCTTTGCAGTCATAATAATCGCATTTGGTCAGATGAAAACCCGCACACTACTCGTCGGTTTAGCTTTCAGAGGAGATTCGGCGTCAACGTATGGGCAGGAGTATATGGTGATCGTTTAATTGGGCCGCATTTTCTACCTGAATATCTGAATGGGCCGTGTTACTTTCAATTTTTAGTATAAGGCTTACAGCAAATTAAAAAGTTATCACAATGTTAATAAAAAATGATTTTTGGCAAGTCATGCTCAGACCTCCTCGAGATTCTTGCTGGATAACAATAACAATTTAATATGTTGATTGCATAATTATAAAAAAAATAATTTATAGCATTTTAAATTATTATTGGCTGATGTGAGCAAATCGTTTATTTATTGTCTTCATATGAGCGAAAATATATAAATATGGCAACACTGCATCTAGGGCGCTTTGTTCATATTGTAGCCATCATAAATTAATGACATTATGACTGAATCACCCTGTATAGATACCTAATTCATATTTTTTCATATTCATAATTTATACAGTATTATTCAGATATTTTATGTTGCATTATAACAAAACAGCTCCTAAAATTAAAAAAGGTCATCTCTCACACAAATCAAAATCTCGTAATGCGGTTTTCGTTACTCAGTTTTTCTCAAAACTTATGCCTGTGGCATCTAAACTAATTCTTTTTCTATCTTTCTATTCTCCAAAGTATCAAAAGAACACCATATATTTCTAATTTTAATTAATCTATTGCTTGTCCTTATACACAAAAAATGTACTTAACCTTTATAAAACTACATCCAGGCCCTGTCTGAACCGATGAGTTTCGTCACTATTTTATTTTTTACTTTTCGTCTTCATCCTGTAGTTTGCAGGGAATAAAGCTGCATTTATGCTTACTTCCAAATTCATGTTTTATAAGGTAGCTCCTTTGTGTGATTTCCTAACCACACGTTTAGCACTTGTATGATTGTGAAAGACTTTCATGCCCCACTTTATGACGTTTAAGACTGTACTTGCGTTTGGTCTTATAGTCGCACAAATCACATTCGTGCATTTCAACCGTTGAGGGATCCTTGTGCACCAACTGATGGGTTATAACTGCACATTTGTAACTGCTTTTGTACGGACACGTATCACACAAGTACATGGGCACTTCTGAACTGTCGGTGTGTTTTGACTGATGACGTGTAAAGCTGTGCTTGTATTTAGTTGTAAAATCACACAGATCACACTTGTACGTTTGTACTCTCGACGGGTCTACGTGTTTCAACTGGTGCGGCTTGAGCTTGTTTTTATATTTAGTCGTAAAATCACACGAGTCACACGAGTACATTTGGGTCTGAGAAAGGTCTATGTGTTTTAACCGATGACGTAATATGCTTATCTTATGCTTAGTTGTGAAATCACACTCAACACACATGTACATTTGGATCTCGGAGCAGTCTTTGTGTGTCAACTGATGTTTTTTTAGGGAATTATTATATTTAGTTTCAAAATCACACATATCGCATTTGTACAGTTTGACCTTAGAAAGGTCTTCGTGTTTTAACTGGTGGATTTTCAGTCCACCCCTGTACTTGGTGTGAAAATCGCAAATATCGCATTTGTATGCCGGTACTTCTGAAAAATCTTTGTGACTCAGTTGGTGATTCTCAAAATGGCTCTTGTACTTGGTTTCGTAGTTACACATATGACATCTGTACATACGGGCTTGTGAAGGGTTCTTTTGTATAGAGTGATGAGATTTTACACCGTTAGTCTTTGCTTTGCCATCGACTTCATCATCATATAGAAGAGCATCACTGAAAAAAGAAATGCAAATCTTGAGTGATGAAATTGAATGTATGGGTAAACTGAAAGTTTTAACAAAACAAAAAACTAGTGAGCAATTGTACAGGGTGATCTTAAATAGCCTTCCAATATTATTGACAGTATATTAAAAAATATGTGTACATGTTTAACTGTTTGTTGCAAACACTAAGGCACCTCATACACCAAGTTTTCAAAATTTGATCAATTCATTTCTGTCACAAAAATTTTACAATCAATGTTAATAATAACCAAATGAACTTCACACTGAGTCACACAAATCACACTGATATATTCACACTACCAAAAAGTCGGCGTGTCTCAGCTGTTTTTGATATCAAATGATATTGTGTGAAGCTATTTATTTGAGGCGAGGCATAGTTTTAGTCTTTTTTTATTATCACCAATCTTTAGTACTTTTTATGGATTTTTTTTGAAAACTTTGTTAACAATTTAAATAAAAAGCCCACTTTTACCATTTAGGAATTAAATACATTTCTAGATAATATTAATAACAACGAACAAACAACTGAACTTCCTTTGGAAATAGAAAACAATAATCCATTACTCTCTAGATATTTTAATCAAAAAGATGACAATTATTTGGAAACCAGTGTTTATGAGAAACCAACTCACACTAACAGATATCTACCTTTTAAGTCAAATCATCATACTGATATCAAGAAAAGTATAGTTAAATGTTTGTATGATACAAACCAATTGATTTCCACAAACAGTGAAATTTAGTGGTGTTTTACCACAATTTTGAGGAAGGCGAAAACAGATAGATATTCAGCGTGGGATTTTTCATAACAATAATTCTTAATGCAAGGATTTATTTCATTAATTTTAAAAACTTATAGGTAAGATCTTAACTGATGATATTGCTAGAAACAACTACTTTATGGGCTATATGAACTGGCTAGCATCGAATTATATCAGGAATATATAGAAAACGGCTAGTAAATAAAAATTAGAAATGAAATATCTGAATTTTTTATTTGAAAATTACACGACCGGGCTATTGAAAGCATTAACCAACGTAATCCTTCAAATAAAGATTTTTTATTCTTGTTGTTCTAACATCACCGCGGACGAAGACCAACACATGAATATACCCGCAATATGTAGGTCTTTTAACTATTCTATGTTCTGAGGATTGCTTTCTTGCTCCTTATAAATTGAATTACTAAATATTTAATATGACAAAATTATATGTAAAATACAAAACTTTTTGTAAAAATGACAATTATTGGTTAAAGATACAATTCACATTAATTTAGTCACACTGTCGACACTTTTGACGTCATTACAAAATTTAATTTTTTCTAAAAGTTTTGTGTTCTATATACAATTTTGTTTTATCAATATTTACCAATTATATTTATAAGGAGGCCAATTGAGGAAAACAATATTCAAATTGCAGAAATAGTCGAGATATATCTATCATGGCGTTGGTCTTTCTCGAAGATGTTAGAACAAAGACGCCTATTAATAGGAATTTCAACTATAATCTCATACTACTGTCCTACTTTTATTTAATAATAGGTGGACTCAAGGAGGAGTTACTTAAATAAGGTTTCTGTAATGTCTATAGTTTACTATATCACTAATTGATAATAATGGCTTGCGGTTTAAATTAAAATTTTTAAAATCAAATAAAAAATTATAAGCTTTTTGCAAAGATCGGAATAGATCTGTATCACTAATATTCCAAAGTGACATAACCTTCTCCATGATAACTTTTTATTCCATTTTTACTTTTCTATATTTCCATAGGTAGACCCAATAATCAATATTTCATTTATTATCTTAAACATACCACAACTGAACAGTTTTGGTGGACTTACCTCTCTGTATCTTCCAATTTTATATCTTTATACTCCATTTCGTTTGATGTCTCTTTACCTTCCAGTTCTGGTACAAGAGAATAAGTTTCAAATAATTCTCCTTTATGTTCACTTACTTCAGATTTTACATCTATCTCCTCAGTTTTTACGTGTAAATCTAACGATGGCGTCCAGGCTAGATTGCCATTCTACAACGTACGCTTTTAGATTGAAATACTTTTAATACACTTTAAACAAAAAGTATGACATACTTTTGTGTATTGCAGTCAGTGATGTAAAATGACCATCATTTAAACGTCATGACGCGGTCGACCGCGTCACGATAGGTTTTGTTTCTTAAATATTTAAATTATTATTATTTTTTATTACAATAAAATAAAATCACTTTATAGATACTTTTGATGATTTTATTAATGTTAATATTAAATTAATATGTATTAAATATTCATTGTCAATGCGGTAAGAAGTAGGTTTATGTTCCACCTGGTGACGTGGTGTCCTTAAAACTTAACCAATGGTAACAATTTTTTGTTTTATTACTTTATACTTGTCATCTATAGCCAAAGAACATGTGTTTTTTGTGTTGTTTGTTTTATAGTTAAAAACTTTTTTGATATTAATATAGTTTTGTTGATGAATTTATTAAGGCAATATTGAGATTCAGTAATTTATATTTTAGAAAAATGACATTAAATTACATTTAAGTACTGTTATTTTTCCTAACTGAAACTATTTATGACGTGTAATGACCGTCATGATCTGGTCACGAGTTTAAATGACGGTCATTTTACATCACTGATTGCAGTATACTTACCGTTTCTGGAATACACTTCTCGATCATATCATCCTCCATTTCATCGACTGATATAAATTCGCCCATTATTAGTGCTTACATAACCTACAAACTTTATGACTGTGTAATCAGTCGATTAAATATTTGCTTGGTGCTTCCTTTCCTTTAAGTCAATTGAACGTCCTGGTTCATCATCGACGAAAGGAATTAAAGCGTTATTAGTATAGAGACACCTCGACTTAAATTTGAATTACTTTCCATCAACAAACACTATGTGTTTACTTCTTTCCTCAAACTTCTGTAAGCAATTAACATCACATGAAAAAATTATTAAATATGTATACCTAGTTCAATCATCACTGTTAAATCGTATGTGTAAAAGTCTATATCTGATATTTTATAAAAATTTGTGTTGAAATATAGACGGTGCATTTGATCTAACCCTAAAGCTGAGTATCTGAAAATGAAATAAATAAAAATTCCCTTTAAAATGTTGCGCCACTTAAGTTTCGATCGACTGCTGTTGATCAAATTAACCAAAAAATAAACATTTTTAATTTGCTTTACCGCATTTGGATAGGTGCAATTTTCAAACACATCCGTTTTAGTTATGTCATCACACCCCAAGATTAGTTAAATTGAAAGGACGTGATGTAGAATCGAACTAACCTCAACAAAAATGAAACTTTTGAATATCTCAAATTTTCTCATTAGAGATTGCAAGTAAAGATAAGGTTCTGCATACCGGGAGTGTGTTGAGGACATTGACTGAAAGGGGTGTCACTAAAAATCGATTCTGCCTAAACATAGAATGAAATATGTTTTTTGTTTCGACTAATATGATTAACCTTGATCCATTGAAACTTCAGCGGCACAAAGTTTCAATATACTCACGCATTCTCTAAGTTTATTGGTTGTAACTAAGACTTACTAAGGCTACTCGGCACAGCAGAGTAGGTAAAAAACTTTGAATGATGTCTAGCAAAAAATTGTATTTTAAACACAAACAGGACACTAACTACTTAATCTACAATTACTTCTTAAATATACACTCTAAGAATTAAGTGAATGAACTTACCAATTTAAGCAGAAAAACGTTTAAAATGTTCCTTGTGATGAATTTTACCACTTCAAAATATTTATGGCTTGCAACACTGAGGAATAACCTACAATGCTCTTTTCAAAAATTCCCCATCCGAACAATTTATCTTCGATATCGAATTAAATACGTAAACAAGGATTATACGTAAATATAAGGATTTTTAAAGGAAATATTGTCCAAATATTTTCCTTTGGGCTAGAAGAGATATCACCAGTACATAATAAAAAGTATGTTGTTTATGTCATGTCTGTTTATGTCATAAACCATAGACAAAGTCGCTAAAAGGAGTGGATTGTCCACAAACTGCTGTTTCCCCCTCTTCGCACCACTTCTGCAGAATTACTTTGGAGTGGCGTCACTGGTATTGTAAATCGAATATCGTCTACGTCAATTATTGTTATGTCTGGTAATAAATTTACTAAATTTCAGTTTTAATATGTACTTGTTGAGTTCCTCTGTGTCTTGTACCATACAAACTGTTGTTCTTTAATTCTTTTACTGTTAGTATGTTCTTTAAGTACTATTGAGCTCACAAACTTTTATCCAAAACTATAACATAGTTTTGGATTATATAAATATAAAATATATAAATATATAAATAAATATATTATATAAAAATATCCTTTTCTATACCTACAGGTTTTCAAAAGATACTCAGTTAAGAAAGAGTGGACTGGACAGTACAAAAAATTTGTAGAAAGCGTTTTTATAAAAAGATTTATGCTGTACAAGGAGAATGAACTAGCTACAGTAGAATTAAAATCACTAGAAATACATTTTTGTCGTGTTCTATAGATAAATCCTCATAGAAATTTTCGTCATTCTGAAGTCGAAGAGCCACACGAAAAGAATAAACGCTGGTACTGGTAGTAAGTGAATTTTTAGAGTCTAGAGACTATAAAAAATTCATGAAACCGGTATTGTTAAATTGACTCAAGTATCAAAAAACCTAATTTACAAAAGAACTACGGGAATATTTAGACTTAATTTGAATTAGCCCAATAAAAAAAAACACTGATTCTCATTTTTTTATTTCTCGTGAATAGACCATATACAAACTTCACAATATCATTAAACATTAAGGTGTTCTAAGAACATAATAATTATTTAATATTTCAAATAATAAATAGGTTCTGAAATGGGCTGTCTTATTCATACATCAATTATGTTGTGCGTAATAAAATAAGGTGAATTGTTAATATTAATAGTTTTCAAAATAATCTCAAAAAAATAAAAAATAAATATATTAGGTATACAAACTCTTCAACTAATTGAATATACTTTATTAACAATTGTTTTAATAATACAAGTACTACTACAACTTATCGAGATATATTTACAACAAAATTAATATGCATATTTTTGTATAACCACCTTGCCGCCAGTGACAAATTTAAATAATCTTCATATATATAATCAACAAGTATTCCTTTTAAACCAAAGAAAGAAAATAACATTTTTTATATTTGCATCCATATTATTAAAGTTTTACTTATTATGAATTTACTGATGATATACGAAAGGTCCTAAAGTGTCGTATTCACATTTATCCCACATTCAAAAATTCAGAACCACAATGTCACGCTTGTACCAGGTAGCTCCTTTTGGTTGAGATTGCAGGGTCAGGCTAGAGTGTTAGAAAAATAGTAATATAGGTAACGCATATTCTTTTTTCGAGCTTAATTTTATGGTGAAAACGCATCCTGGCTAACTAGATTAGTATTATATATAGAGAAGATTTGTTGAATACAATATACATTCCAAGGCGTTTTACTTATTCTTAGCACTAGCAAAATAAATTAGTAAAGTTCCTAGATTGGCCAAATATCACAATTAATTATTCATATTTTGCTTTAACGTGGTTGTATAACAAATGTCGAAGGGCGATACACTTCTAGAGCGTGACCAGTGCGCATTTAAGGGCGGAGCTATTTTAGACATATTATTTGTTTCAGTCTATAGGAGAGTTTAAACAGCAAATAAAATAAAATAAGGAATAAAATAAGAAAGTTGAACATGCACATTTCTATGAAAGCGTTTATACATGTATAAATTATACATGAAATAAGCTAAAATAAGAATAACAATAAAAGATGGTTAACTTTAGTTTTCTTGTATTAATTTATCTTATTTTGTTTGGAAACTGATAATGCGCATGACCAAAATCTCTATTCAAAATGTTCCGCGTTGCCAATTATTCTAACCCAACACCTAACCTAAAAATATTATTTGAGGTTGAAATTTTTGGCGGTATATGAATTTTGAGATGGATGATAGAAATATTAAGCTGGGAGTGATGATATTGATGAAGATGATAGTAGCAGGCACTGCCATTATTGGTATTGGCCATAAAACGAAAAAGGGAAAATCACAGACACGAGTCATTGTCAGAAAAGTTGCGCTTTGCTTGGTTTATTCTTATTTCTTATTTTATTTTATTCATCTATATAAACCAATATTTTTTGCTTCTAATTCTTAATTAATTTTATTTTCTCCCTTATTTTATTTTATTTGCTGTTTAAACTCTCCTTATATTAAATTGTCTCCTGATATTTTCAGAATGAATAGTACACCAAAAAATAAAAGTACCGTTTTATATAAACTTTTAAATGAAAATAAAAAGATATACCCCTTTGAAGGAGTGTAACATGTTTCTTTCTGAGATATATTAAAATATCTAACTCATATTTTACTTATATTTACGACATATACTACGAGTAATTTACGCAGATGTTTTGTGTTCCAACTAAAAAAAATCTGCTGAAAATTGAAAAATGCCCTGTATTTTTTAAATTGACCAAGATATGATTATAAGGTCTTCATTAAGCAACTCTTCTTGACAATTATGCCTGTGACATTTAACTTTTTATATGTTTATGGTAAATACCAGAAAACCCAAAGTATCAAATTTAGACCATCATATATTTACAATTTCAATGAGATAACACCTATAGTTGTCCTTATACAAAAACATTCTTTATACATTTGTATAACTACACCTATGCCGTGTTTCAACTGATATAATTCGAGATTTTGTTTTGCTTTTCGTCTCTCTACTGTAGTTTGGGCTATATTTAAGCTTGGTTCTAAATCCACGTTTCCTATCCAAAAGTTCATCACTTGTATAATTGCGAAAGGCTTTCGTGTCCCATTTTATGACGTTTAAGATTGTTCTTGTGCTTGGTCTTATAGTCACACAAATCACATGTGTACATTTGAACCATTGAGGAATCCTTGTGCACCAATTGGTGTGTTCTTACTGTCCACTTGTCACTGCTTTTGTAGGGACACATATCACACGAGTACAATGGCCCTTTTGAACTGTCAGTGTGTTTCGACTGATGGCGCTTAAAGCTGTGCTTATATTTAGTTGTAAAGTCACACAAACCACATGTGTACATTTGTACTCTCGAAGGGTCTGCGTGCTTTAACTGGTGCGGCTTGAGCTTGTTTTTATATTTAGTTGTAAAATCGCACAGGTCACACGAGTACATTTGCGTCTCGGAAAAGTCTGTGTGTATCAATCGATGGCGTAAGACGCTTGTCTGGTGCTTAGTTGTGAAATCACATTTATCACACGTGTACATTTCGATCTCGGAACTGTCTTTGTGTGTCAAATGATGGTTGCTTAGGGACTTTCTATACTTAGTTTCGAAATCGCATATATCACACTTGTACACTTCAACCTTCGAAAGGTCTTTGTGTTTTAATTGATGGGTTTTCAAATCACTTTTGTACTTGGTGAGAAAACTGCAAGTATCGCATTTAAACGTAGGCACTTCTGAAAGCTTTCTGTGACTCAGTTGGTGGCATACGAAACGGCTCCTGTGCCTGCTTTCGTAGGTACACGTATAACACCTGTATATTCGGGCTTGTGAAGGATTCTCTTGTATCGACTGATGAGATTTTAGACCGACACTCTTGGCTTTGTTGTTAACGAGTTCATCAGCATAGACAGGAGGGACACTGGAAAAAAATATATAAATTGTGAAGGATGAAATTGAATGTATGTGTAAATTTTAAATTAAAAAAAAAACTGATATGCTATTATACAGAGTGATCTTAAATAGTCTCCCAATATTATCGACAGTATATTAAAATAATGTATGTTTTTAAACTTCATTTTGAAAATAGATAATAATAATAATAGAGATTGCAGATTATAGGCTACTAGGGAAACAAGTGTACTCTTGGTAAATTTTGTTTAATTGAACTATTTCCAAGAAGTTCTAATTTATATGAGTGAGACTATATTTTTAATTTCATCACATTGATCATGTGTTTTGAAATGCTAATCATTTCAAACAATTTATATACAACATATATTTTAAGTTGTTTTGGCTCAAATGAATTACAAATTTGCTCAAATTAATATACCACACACCACTTTCATACCACAAAGTATTTAAAAAAAAAATCAAATATAATTGAGCAGTTTTATTATAAGTACTATTAAAATATAGGGTATACATGTTCCAACATTATTTTTTATAGTAAAAGTTCATCGTTCTGCTTTTGTCCGAAATAAACACATCAATTTCTTTTTCATTAAAGTTTGGTATTTCTCGCGCCATTGATTTTTCAATAGATAGTATTGCAAGTGCTGTTGGTCTGTCTTTACAAACTAATTTAAACTTTTACAATCTTTTAAAAAATACAAAAAACATGTAGGTAACAAAATTTTACAGCACACGTAAAAAGATTACATTTAATAAAAAAAAAATAGCTGTGAATTATTATTTGATTACGGGTAGACTAAACAGAACCAAAACTGCATAGTAAAAATGCGCTACTCCCACTCTATCTTTCACTGCCGCGTGACGGTAACCATGACTACCACTGTAAACACTTTACAGATTTAGGGGCAAACTTCGAGAAGCCCACATATTCAGTGTTTCTCAAATGAATTTTGCAAGTTGAGTTAAATAGACTGTACATTAAAAATTTAACATTTCCTTTGTCACGTATTTCATACGGCTATTCTATTAAATTATCTAGATAACATTGTACTATAAATTTTAAATTAAATTTTTTTATAATGAAAATTTCTAGAGTTTTCAATATAATACATTTATTTACCGTGAGTTAATTTGCGTTTAAACTCTACTAATTTGATTTTTAGGGATATTCTACAATTCAATCATGTTGGAACAATTTTCCCGCTATATTTGCACAAAAACAATTGAAAAACTTACAATATTTGATTATATACTTAAAGTTTAAAATGTATAAAAAAAAAGTGTACATTAAAACTTATTTAACCACATATAGATACTGAATCTATTAGAAAATATGCAGGGTGAACTTTTCCGATGTGACAAGTGAATAAAAAAATTATTAAAACCTAAACTTCTGATTTTGTTGGTCCTCCTATGCCTCGTAAATATTTTGTTTATTATTGCACAACATTTAATATATTATGTTTCATTTACTGTAATGACCTTGATTTAAACTTCTACAATAATTTCATTTAAAATGGAAATAATCCATAAGGAATGTCCTAAAATTACTAAAAAATAACCGTACACTGTCCAGTCTAATTCTTTAACACTTGAAGAGTTCGTTGAAACTTACCTCTGTTCATCTTTATCGTTTACTTCAGTTTTTATTTCAACCTCTTCGATCTTAACACAAGATAGATCCTTTGTGGTTTTATCATCCGAAATATATTTAATTCTCTCTTGTATATCTAAACAGTTATTTAAGAAAGCACCATGGATATTCAAGAAATCAAGGCAAAATGAACATATAACTGGTTCCTTGGTCAAGCTAAAATTCTACAAAAAAAACTTTAGATTTTACGATAGAGGACCAGTCATTTCTAAAATAAAGAAGTATACGTACCACTTCTGGAATATAGTTATGAATCAGGTCAGTCTCCAGGACTTTTACTGATGTAAATTCACAGGTGACTAAATTCATGCACAATCGACAAATTCTGTCACCCTCTAGCTCTGTTCTTAAACGTCCTTCATCTTTCTCTTTAACGTAAATATCTGTTAAATCGACGGGTGCCGCATTTTCGGAATTGGCATAACGAAAAATAGTATCCTCAATGCCCATACACATCATTTTGAAATCAAAAGCTGCAAACAATTTTGTGGAACAGGAATTGCATATCACAGACTTATTCTCTTCTATATTCTGAAATTTACATTATTATGACAAAGTTAATTAACTCGGTTAAAAAAAATTTGAAGATACAAGATCTAAATACATTCACACTACAATTTTTCTTACCAGTTTTAACAAAAGAACATTTAAAACCTCATTAACGGTTTCTTCTATTATTTTAAAACTCCCATCACTTACGGCGTTATGGCAAAGCCTGCAAAGGGTTTCCCTAAAATTTCCCATTTATATTTTACATTATTTATTATACCAGTATAAAAATACTAATGACAAGACTGACACATACAAAAACAAACATAACCACAAAATCAGTGTTTCGAATAAGATCGTTAAAGAAGTGTACATACTTATCGACCTTGGCCTCGGCTGTGTTCTTTTAATAGGAGTTTACGAAAACTCAGTCTGGGGTTAGATTTGTGGTCTGGGTGTCTGGGTGATCAGAGGCGTTTTCGTTTGGCACCTAGAATATAAAATCCCGTGTTCGAATTGATAAAAATTCTGTTTGTCACTCAAGGTTGTTTTCCCCTTTCCCTTGATGCTCCGATCTAATTTTTGGTGTTTTGAATTTTGAAACCCTGAAAATATTTGAGGTTATGCTGTCATAGTTGTCAAATCTTAGTTTTGTAATTAAAATAAATAAAAAAAAAATCTATCTCATAAATACGGTTTGCTGTTGCTGGTCTGACAAAAGTGGCAAAGTCCACCAAACTAGGTTAATCTTATTTCTCTCGGAAATGCTAAAACACAGTTAATTAACCACGGTTTTTCGCCAAAAAAGTCTGTACTTTATGAATGAATGTATATTATGCAACAAAAACAGAAAACAGAACTAAATTCAAATGGAGAAAGATGAAGAAACATGTACTCTTTGCCTCAATATTATAAATGACAAAAATTTCAAAGTAATTGAAGAAGTTATTAAAGAAGTTCTAGACGTTCTTTTCATAAAGCTGGTAAAGTTATACTTAGACGATTGTAGCTTGTGTGTCTCTTCATTTATAATTTTTAACGGTGATATTTCAGAGAGTGGAAGATAATAAATCAGTAATATGTAATGCCTGTTCCATAAAACTGTTTGCGGCATTTAACTTCAAGGCAACCTGCATGGATACCGAAGACAGTATTTTTCCTTATGTTACTTCTGAAAATGCTGCACCAGTTGATTTGAAAGAAATTTACTTAAAAGAAATAAATAAAGGACATTTAAGCACGATATTTGAAGACGAGAGAATCTGTCGATTATGTATGCGGGTAATCACTTCTGGATTTACGATAGTAAAAGAAGTAGAGAGGGACATGGTCCATAATTACATTCCAGAAGTGGTAATAAATTTTGATTTAGTTTAATTAAATCGTCATTTATCTTTCATTTATGAACACGTTTTTTTTATACAGAACTTTAATTCCACTGAAGAGCCCGTCATGTGTAAAGGATGTCTGTTTTCATTGGAAACGCACAATATATTTTTAAAGGAGTGTTTAGATGTGACAAGGAAAATTGAAAATATTGATGAAAAAGAAGCAAAGAATGCCATACATGTTATCTCTGAAAATATCGATATAAAATCTGATGAAGATGATGAAAATGGGTAAGTTTTTAAATTATTGTTGGTTTTTGTAATGAATAAAGTTGATAAATCAATTTTTATTTGCCTTTGATAAAATTTATAAAATTAATCAACTTGTTAAAAATTTATATTTTTTATAAATGCAATATTTTTGTTGAACTTGAACCCAAACCTGCAAACCTTGTTTCGGATAAAGATTGATATAATTTCTCAATTTTTTTTGGGTCACTTTTTTGGGAATTAACGGAATGCCAAGTTGCTTTTCAACATAATATGCAAAGTGAATTACAAACCCTTCTAGTTTCTCTGATTTTTTTTGTTAAGACGACCTTGATTCTTCATTTGAGAAAATACAATTCTGTTTTACTCTCTAGCTTTTTGTTCTACAGTTTCTTTTGTATTTAACTCTGAATCGAATTCATTAAAATATTACTTAACGAATAGTCACAATACTTATAAATTATAAATAACTAGCTGGCCCGACAGACGTTGTCCTGTCCAAATTTCAATTTCAGTTCAAATGAATCGTGAGTTATGGTCTTGAGTTCATACAAATATCCTATGTAAAAAAGCATTTTCAGTTTTTCCCAAATTTTCCAATTTTTCAGGCAACTTTTCCAGTTTTTCTCTCCCTAAAAATCTTATTCGGACTATTACAAACATAGTACAAAGTCATAGTTTGGAACTACATCTAAAGATGTCATAGCTACAAGGTAATACGGTCTCCCACCATTGCTAATAGGCCAGGAAAAAGAGCTAGGAAATGACCATTTCCCGACTTTTTGTTTCGGCAAGCTGAATTTATCACTATAGATGCTAAATATTATGTACAATATCATATTAGTTCTCACAGTCATAAAAATGGGGGGAAGATTGTTTACAGGGTGGTTAATTGTATAATTTTTACGTAAATTCACGTTTTTCGCTTATAACTTTTTTCCATGAGAAAACAGTAAAGTACTGTTTTTTTCGTCTTCAAAAGACCTACAAAACTAGCCCTCGATCATAAAAAATATTGATTAGATCAAAAGTTATAAACAGAAGAGGTTTATTTATGACTTTTGAATTAAACATTTGCGTTATTATTACCAGAACGTTTTGGCATCGCATCCTCTCATTCCTTATCACTGTCTAATAATTCACACAAAATCTGGAATTGGTAAGTTGAATATAGTTTACAAGTTATGACCTTATAAATAAATTAACTAATTATTAGTCTGGACGATCCCGAGCATCTTCCACAATCGCACTGATTTTTTTCATGGTGGATTTCATAATAATACATTTTGAAAACTATCATTTTTGGCATCAATAAAAATGCTACAATAACCCTTTTTTTCGAAAAGTAGATATAACAAAAAATTTTGTATATTTCTTAATTTAAAAAAGACACTTTTTTGCTTGCCGAGGGCTACATTTACAACAAGTAACAAATTTCAAAACCTTAATTTGCAAGAGATACAGTAAAAACAAAAAAAGTCGATTTTTGACAATGTTTTCGATATATCTCGAAAAGTAATATAGCAATCGATATATTTAAATATACGAATCGATAGGTTTTTTTAATAGCTACAACTTTCTCATTTAACTTTTTTTGATTGGAGTTCAAGTGTTTGTATTAGTGAAAAACCGTTTTTTGACGTTTATGAATTTTTAAGGTTAACTTCGTTGTTTATGCGCCACAGGAAAAAAATACTATCTTAGATATTTTTTTAATTGTCACTTTTCTGCAATATTTTCAATTTTTTTGAGCCATGTTTGACAGATCTATAACATTACCGACATTTTTTTTTTAAAGGCCGTATTATATTTTATAGTATAAATAGATAGTCCTTCTAAAGATGAAATCAACGGTATAAAGGCATACCTCCTTTTTTGTCATAGTCTTTAAAAAATGCAGTAATTAAATGAAAACAATAATTTAGTACTACTTTTGATTTTATTACAGCAAATGTTCAAAGTGGCCCCCATTAGCGGTGTTCAAAATTATCAGTTGAATAACATTTGGTGTTATGTTTGGAACTTCTTTGATACGATTTTTCAGTCCTTCGATAGTGTCTGGTCTGTTCACATACACTTTGCTTTTTAGATAACCCCACAAAAAAAAATCTAATGGGGTTAAGTCAGGGGAGCGTGGTGGCCATTCAAACGACCCTCGTTTGCCTATCCATCGATTTGGGAAAACTTCATTAAGGTAATTTCTTACATCGAGGCGAAAATGTGGAGGGACACCATCTTGTTGGAATCAAACATCACCAGCAGGCATATCGTGTTCATTAGGGTTAGCAAAAATAAATTCCAGGGCTGGAATCAGCGGAAAACGCAAAAAATCTAAATAAATGTTGCCTGTTAAATTGCCCTCAAAGAAATAAGGTCCCAGTCCTACTATTCCAGTCCAAACATTCACTTTTTCCAGCTGTTGTGTATGTTTTTCTTACATCCAATGCGGATTTTCTGGGCTTCAAAATCTAGTATTTTGCCTGTTTACGGTTCCGTTTAAGCAAAAAGTTGCTTCGTCGGTGAAAATTATGTAATTTTTTAAGTTTGGTTGTCTTAAATAAATAGATTTCTAATTTCCTCGCAAAATTGTAATCTTCTATCTGTGTCATCTACCCATAGTTCTTGTAAGGATGGATTGTTCCTTCAAACTTTTTGTATACTTTACTTATTGTAGATCGACTAATTCTCTGGTCTGGATACTTATGGTGAAATATCAGTCACTAAGGATTTTTCGCATAAACGGGAAACCATTTTTCAAAATAATTTAACAACGAATGAATTGGAACTAAAACGATTCACGTTATACGTAAGGTACTCTGGTGAATTTTATGTGCTTATTAAGATTAATAAAGAGTAGGTACGTTTTGAAAGTACAGCAAAGACTATGATTGTTTGAAATAGTCGTCAGTACGACATAAAAGACAATTTTTTACATTTTTTTGACAACTGTGACAAAAAAGTAGGTATAACCTTATATCGCTGAATTCGTCTTTAGAATTTATACTATAAAATATAAAGCGTCCTATTCATAGATAAGATATACTATGTAAGAAATAGATAGGCAACCCGATGAAAAAATGCATTAAATACGCCATCGGTGTTTGGAGTAAGAAACACTTTCAAGGGCAATTATTGCACATACGAGGGGTATAAGATAAGTTCATTGGGTGTAAAGGGGCATACGATAACTTCTCATTATATTCGTAAGGTGATTTGCAAACATTGACCAAAAATGAAACCTCGTATTCTTTAGTGAATTTTAAGAGGGCTCTTTCGTATAAAGCTTTTATCTACGAAGTTTCGTTAAAAAAATACAGGGTATTAAAATTTAAAAAATATTTAATTTTTTTTTCAAATAATAAAAATTAAAAAATAAATGGTGCAGGGTATTGCTGGAATATTTGTGTCTAAATAAAAAAGTATGCCACTGCTTTATTGTAACAATCATATTTTCGCATTCCTCTTCCAATTTTCTACAAATTACTATTCTTTCATATTTTTCCAAAAAAGCCTGATTTCCTGAGTAAAACTTAAAAAATTAACTGAAGACACACTTCGATATTAGAATACAATGCTGTTTAATCGTTACATTAGTAGGCTGTGTTTGCGCAAATTGAGGTATTTTTGAGCATTTACTCAAATAAAATCATCTATGAGATGTTCTTTATTCGATTAAATAATAGATTAAAAAAAGTGTTTCTATTGTAATTTAAACTATGTTTTTAGTTCAACGAAAATGTTTTTTTTTTTCGAAAAACATAAAGGGGTGGTGATTTGTAGAAAATTGTAAGAAGAATCCGAAAATATCATAATACAGCCCTGTATCTCAGCCACTGGAACATTGTTTTTTAAGAAAATGCTTCCGATTTTGTACAGTATTTACATACATTCATGTGATTAATTTCAAATTATTTCACTCACTAGTTTCTATATATATAATGTTATAAAAAATTAAAAATATTAATTTAACACTGGATTGTTTTAGTGAACCGTCCTAGACAAAAACTTTATATGAAAGACCTACCTTAAAATTCACTAAAGAATTCGAGGTTTCATTTTTTGTCACTGTTTGTAAATCACCATGTAGTTCATTTGTAAATTGATGTCATTGGCAATGTTTCACGTATAATTTCTTCATTCACATATTACATTTTCTGAAAATTCTAAAATTATATTGTAACGTATGAATCATGATGAAGTTCCGGCGTCAGCTGTTAAATTTCAAAATGAATGCTAACAAAGACAACAAAAATTTATTTTGTCTCTGTCTAAAAAAGGACAGACACATATCGCTGTCCTCTCGGGCTCTGGAGTCAAGTAGTGGGGGTAATTTTCAATCTCTTACCAGTAAAGTTGTCAGTAATGTTATAAGTCTGTCAAACATGGCTCAAAAAATAGAAAGTATTGCAGAAAAATGGCAATTTCTATTTACTAATTGACCTGTTTCAGTTATATTTTTAAATTTCAACTAAAATAAAAATATGTATTTTGTTCCATCATTTTGGGACACACTGTATATTTTATTGTTACTATCAGACACTCCACCAATTTGTTATCCAACAGATAATTGTTAGACATGACGGAACATTTCTTCCATCAAAAGTTTTTCAATATTACTTTTGCAATTTAAAATAAGAAATCTCCAACACAAAAAGTTTGTGAGTTTTATATGCCACTCATTCACTTTGACTTCTGTCAAAAAAATTTCAAAGCCTACTATATTCTTATACTTCAAAAATATATTCTGATTTTATGGCAGTTTTAAACCGTGAAGTCCTTAAATCTTAGTAATGTGTTTAATGACCATTTATTTAAGTAATTCCTTTATTAATTTTTTCAGTAAGACGTCGATCCATGACTCAGATGAATTCATCGACCGCAGTCCAGTAAGTGTACAAATGCCAAAAAATAATAGTGCCCTTAAGTATCGTAGGTCGAAAGACAAAAAGCAATCAAAAGTCTACAAGTGCGAGTTTTGCACTTTTGAGGGTAAATATAAGAGCAGTATCATAAGGCACACGTTAACACACAGTAAAAAAGTTTCGAAGAGTGTTCTGTACGAATGCGACGTGTGCGATTACAGGTGCAAGCAAAAGGGCAACCTTTTGAAACATCAGTTGACGCATAAACACCCATCCGAGATACAGATGTTCGAATGCGATAAGTGTAATTATAGAACTAAACAGAAAAAACATCTTAGGAACCATCAAATAACACATAACAATTTTTCTGATGTGAAAACGTACGAGTGCCACTTGTGCAACTTTAAGACAAAGCATAGGGGCAGTATTGTAGGTCACGTATTAATTCATTCGACAATTAAGATTTACAGGTGTGATATTTGTGATTACAAGAGCAATAAAACACGTTATCTGAAGAACCATCAACGTAAACACAAACAAGCCTCTGAGATGTGTTTGTACCAATGTGACAAGTGTGATTTCAAAACTAAATACAAAGAAAGTATTCAAGGACATGAGCTAAGGCATAAGGACCCATCTGAAGTGGAGATGCACGGATGTGATAAGTGCAGTTATAAAACTAAATTTAGGAGTGAGTTAAAAAAGCATCAAATCACGCATGAGGATTTGTCGAACGTGCGGGCGTACCAGTGTGATAAGTGTGATTACAGAGCTAAGCGAAAGAAAAATCTTACAAGTCATCAACTGATACATAAAAAGCTATCTGAAGTGACACTACACTCGTGTGCATATTGTGATTATAAATCAAGATATAAGAACGGTGTTAAGTATCATGAGTTAACGCACGTCCACACAGAAATGTACAAATGTAACGAATGTATTTATGAGACTAAGATAAAATGCAGTTTAATTACCCATATGTTGACTCACAAGGACCTGACTGAAGTTCGTTTATATCAGTGCGATAGGTGCAGTTACAGAACTAAATATAAGAGCTCATTAAAAAAGCATCAATTGGGACATGAAAATTCTTCGAAAAAAAAAGCCATATGAATGTGAGAAGTGTCAATACAGAACTAAACTGAAACGGTGTCTTTCAGCCGTCAACTAAGACACAAAAAACTTTTTGAAGCGCCAACATTAAAGTGACTTGCAATTATAAGAAAAAATATAGAAGCATATGTTGTTTTTGAATACACGTAAGGTCAGCATATTGACATGAGAAGCTCTGATATTTCATACATTTTATTAAAGAAAATAATAATTATGTAATCACAGAAACAAATATAAAAGGTATATAAAAGGTAATATAAAATAAACCGAAATAAACAGATTATTCAGATTACTGTAGTGATGTGAGTGAAAATATATAACAAATTGATATATATCAATTTTTGATACATATCAGCTATTATATATATGTTAATAGCTGATATATATCAATTTTCCCGCCATTTCATCAATAAAGCCAAATTTCAAACATAACCTTACATTTTAAAACTAAAAACTTGTGGTGTGGTAGGCTTGAGCTGGACCGTAGTAGCTCTTGGGTACCTGGCATATTTCTGACAAAAGTGAATATAAAAATCTGAAATTTTAGGGGTGTACTATAGATGGGAAGAACTAAGAGCGCACCTGATTTCAACTCGCCCTTTCCACCCTAGTAAAATTTCAGATTTTTAAGTACTACTTTAAAGAAGTTTCTTTATTATCATAAGTTTTTGATAATTTTTATTTCAATTTTTATCTTTAATTTTTTTTAAGTACGTATTGTGATATACAAAGACTAAATTTTCTTGATCTAGAAATTTCCCATTTTTTATTTCTGGGTTGATAAAACTAAATTGCTAATAAACAGCGTACTTGCTTATAAACAGTCAGTAGTACGCAACAAAAATTAGAAGTCGTTATGATAAAAAAAATAAAAAATTCCAATCTAAATATGAAAAAAAAAATAAAGATCACTTGATAACTTTTCTAAAAGTTCATATATATGACATGTATTTGGTGTCAAATTAATCAGCAAGGCATTAGCAATATAAAAAAACTAATTTGAGTATAGTTTTTCTTTTAACAAAATTCATCTGATATATATAATGATATATATTTTGATATATATCACCCAAAACTAAATAGCATGCTATTTTACATCACTAGTTAATAGCTGATATATATCAATTTTCCCGCCATTTCATCAATAAAGCCAAATTTCAAACTTAACCTTGCATTTTAAAACTAAAAACTTGTGGTGTGGTAGGCTTGGGTTGGACTGTAGTAGCTCTTGAGTACCTGGCATATCTCCTTCAAAAATGAATATAAAAATCTGAAATTTTAGGGGTGTACTATAGATGGGAAGAACTAAGAGCGAACCTGATTTCAACTCGCCCTTTCCACCCTAGTAAAATTTCAGATTTTTAAGTACTACTGTAAAGCAGTTTCTTTATTATCATAAGTTTTTGATAATTTTTATTTCAATTTTTATCTTTAATTTTTTTTTAAGTAGGTACCTATTGTGATAAAAAATTGTGATATAAAGTCTAAATTTTCTTGTTCTAGAAATTTCCCATTTTTTATTTGTGGGTTGATAAAACTAAATTGCTAATAAACAGTGTACTTGCTTATAAACAGGCATTGTATCATATTATTAAGTACGCAACAAAAATTAGAAGTCATTATAATATGTAGTAGTAATATGTAGTAGTAATATATAATATAGTAATCATAATTATAATGAATTTATTAATTAAAACAACAACCTATTTCAAATAGATTATTACTTTTCCTATAAAGTGTCTTAATGTAAATATGATAAAAAAAATAAAATATTCCAATCTAAATATGAAAAAAAATAAATATCACTTGATAACTTTTCTAACAGTTCATATATATGACATGTATTTGGTGTCAAATTAATCAGCAAGGTATTAGCAATATAAAAAAACTAATTTGAGTATAGTTTTTTTTTAACAAAATTCATCTGATATATATAATGATATATATTTTGATATATATCACCTAAAACTAAATAGCATGCTATTTTACATCACTAGATTACTGTGAAGGTTTCACCATGAATTCTCGGTTAATATTTGGGCTGCCCTAATCGATAACTTATTGATTGGTCCTGTCGTTCTTCCTGCGAGGTTAAATGCAGACAATTACCTTCAATTTCTTATTGACGAACTGCAAGGACTTTTAGAGGATGTTCCACTGAATGTTCGCCTACACATATGGTTTCAAATGGATGGGACACCACCACATTTTGGAGTGCTGTCCGAAATTGTGTTACCGTCAATTATCCACGATGGATTGGTCGAGGTGGCCCTGTTGCCTGGCCACCTGGATCACCCGATCACAATCCCCTTGATTTTTATTTATGAAAGTTTTAGTCTACTCGCAAGTTTCAAATACAAGAGAAGAATTATTAGAGAGACAAAACAAGCGCCAAATGCGGATAACTACGTCATCTGTTGGCTTACGGGCACAAGCCTATATTCAACAAGGGGCAACATTTTAAAAATATTATTAATTGACCTTTCCTTTAATATCATTTTTTATTTACTTTGAGAATGAATTATCTGCCAATGATTCATAGGCGTGTACATTTGAAACAAATAAACACGGATATACAAGTGTTGGGTTTTTTTACTTGAAAAGAAGTGTACTTTACGCCCCCAAAATTTGGACATAACGATACGGGTATTTTATCGAACAAAATAACGGTTATCTCATTTTTGTTTTATGTTTGTGTCTCGTTACACAACTTCTATTTTTAAATAGTATGTCTTTTTCTTATAAATGTAATTTTGAAATGGTAATTTTGCCGAAGAAAAGCAATTAGCAAATGTATTTTAAATTATTTAATTGAATTTGAAAATTAAATACAACTAAGATGTTATTTAAAACTTTACTTGCCAATCAGACTGATTATGATATTATAATTTGATTGAAAGTAAATTATTAGATTATACATTTTTTTAATAAATTTAAAATCAGCCCATTAATGTGTACAAAATTTGTTTTATTTATTAAATATGTACATTCTCTTCGTATTATCTTCACTGTATGAATAATTTATCTATATTAATTCGTTATTTAAGAAATTATTGACAAAAAATCACTTGGTGTGTAGCAAGCGGCTGATTTTGGCCATTGGAACGAAACATATGTTCTTTACAGTTCGGATTCGGAAAACTTTTTGTTCTCAAAATAAGAACCGGGGACAATATTTCCATTTTCGGATCGTGTCCTTAACACGCTGCATTAACAACATCGGCCTATGGCGGCGTCACCTGTTGCTTGTAGCGATTTCCGGAGCGGCGACGGAAGTTTTGGAAAGGTTGGTGAAAATTGTAATTCCGCCCCGTGTCTTCTGCTGCTCGGGAATAGTAGCTTGGGTCCCTTAAGACGTGGTTCTCGGCTCTGGCAGCCCTGCATGGATTGGTTTTTGATGGCTTCACGGTCTCGGCTGGAAAGATGAGCGAATATTTTAGGTCCGCTCGGGACCCACATAAAGCAATATTTCAGAATAAGGATGTATTTATTACACACAACAGTTATATAGATAATGATTTAAAATCGCGTTTTTAATTTTAATTTTTTAATTATTCGTCCTGATATCAGTGTCGGGCTATTATGTTTAGATATGTTTTATGTTTAATTAATTAATTATTTTTGAATATCATTAGTTCAGATTTAAGTTTTTTATGTCAGCATTTATAAATAGAAAGCTCAATCATTAGAATGTAATTTACTGCATAAATTCGATGGATTGTACAGAAAATGAAGCATATTCTAATTAATCCTTATACAGAGTGAGCTCTTGAAAACGAAACAGAACGAATAACTCTCAGGAAAATAATTTTTCCGAAAAACGCCGACACAGATCGATTTTTGATCGAAGAGGGGCATCTTTTTACATAAATTTCTTGTTACACTCCCTAAAAATCTTGAAGGAGGGTTAAGTGACATGTTTGAAATGTTATCTAATTCTCTACACAACTCTGTTTTATTTTTTTAATTTGACCGATTAGTTTCAGAGATAGATTGTTAGTGAAAAAACCCACTATTTACAAATTTATTTGCAAATTAAGTGTTCAAATTGACGATCACACAATAATATAAGTATATTAAACATTTATAGTAGTTTTAAAAAGGAATCAACAGTTTACTGCAGCTGATGGAGAAAAAAAAGTTTTCAAATATATTAAGAAGTACGTTTTTTATTAACAACCTGTATCTCCGAATCCAATCGATCATCAAATTCAAAAAGAAGAAAAGAATTAGAATACCTTTCAAACGATATGTAACTTAACCTTTCTTCCCTATAAAGATTTTTGAGGGTTTGCCCTCTTCCTGGGGCGGGGGAGGGGGAATCTGGAATCTGTGGCAGGAAATTTGTGTGAAGGGATGTGCCTCTTTGATTAAAAATCGAATTGTCTCGGCATTTTTCGGAAAAATAATTTTCCTAAGAATTATTCGCTATGTTTCGATTTCAACAGCTCGCCCTGTATAAACTGTTTTTATTTATTTTTACCTAAGCAATATTCTCTTAAAGTTTATGCACTCTTCCCCTTGTGTACCCCATATAAAATTCTGTAAATAATTTCTGTTCGTTCAATAAATCGTTGATAATAATTACAAAATATATTGATACCAAATCAAAAGACTCGCCGGTAGCTGAAAAAACATTTTTTAATTAAATATTATGTTTTATATTAATTCACATCTTTTCGGTGAAGATAACATAATACCTATATAAGATTGAGATAATAAAATGAAAGATTTGCTCTTATTTTAAGTTCAATGTTTATTATATCAATCTTATCATAAATCACTTGTTGGAGTTCTCCACCATTATCTGAATCTAATATTTGTTTTTACAGATTTGAAGATAGATATATTACATCCACTTATAGATAAGAAAAGTATGTCAGTTTTTTGTAAGCAAATAGTTAATCGATTAAACTTGAGTAAAATGCATTTCGCCGGAAAGGTGGTATTAATTACCGGTGCCAGCTCGGGTATTGGGGCAACGACTGCTAAAGTTTTCGCTGGTCTGGGTGCTGCCCTAGCTCTGACTGGTAGAAATCTAGAAAATCTGCAACAAGTGGCTTCAGACTGTGCTTCTGGAACAACTCCACTCTTAATAATTGCCGAACTAACCAGTGAGAGTGACACGAAAGCCATCATCGACCAAACTGTGGAACGCTTCGGCAGATTGGACGTTCTAGTCAACAACGCGGCAGTTTTGGAGTTGGATTCCATGGAAACGACTAGTCTGGCACAGTACGACAACGTTATGAACACAAACGTGAGGTCACTTTACCACATAACGACGCTAGCGGTGCCCCACTTAATAAAAACCAAAGGCAACATCGTTAATGTCAGTAGCGTCACCGGTCTCAGAGCTTTCTCGGGGCTTTTGACATACTCCATGTCCAAGGCAGCGGTCGACCAATTCACCAGGTGTGCGGCTTTGGATTTGGCACCCAAACAAGTCAGGGTTAACAGTGTGAACCCTGGGGTGATCGTCACTAACTTCCAGAGGCGAGCGGGAATGAACAGAGAACAGTACACAGAATTCTTGAAGAGATCTGAGGGGAATCACGCTTTGGGGCGTAACGGCAGGGCGGAGGAGGTGGCAAGGGCTATTGTGTTTTTAGCCAGTGATGATGCCAGCTTTATTACTGGGACGACACTTCCTGTGGACGGGGGAAGGCATGCTATGTGTCCGAGATGAACAGTTGTAGGAAACGAAAAAATATGAACAAATCGGTAATTCTGTCGCTTATTACTACAAACGGAAACATCCCTATAAATAAAACATTTATTCAAATGTGACCCATTTCCATTTGAAACGAGTCACATTGTTTACAAAAATCAACTTTTTCATTAACAAGTATTGAAAAGTTACAAGTTACAAGTGGATATTAAAAATAGTAATAATTGACTATTTTTTTATTCACAGTATAACCTCCCAAGCACTATATTTTTACTGTAAAACTTTTTTACGTTATAGTTTATGTAATAACATTTTTATATAAATATGTACTGATGGGTATACGTTAAACTTATAATAAACTATGTTAAATCTATCAATCTTACAAACATTTTCTCATTTCGTACTTCTAGGTCGGGATAATCCATATGAGATTCTCTGGCAACAGCGTACCAATATTAGGAAATTTACTTAATTTATTTAATAAATCGTAAAAATTTCATTTTTTAAGAACAATAAGATTTAACCTTCGTTCTTCATCCACATCAATATCAAAAAAATATGGTGACTTTAAAATAACACGTTGCTAAGAATGCTCAGCCATACAAAACAATCTACTAAATTATTTTCTATTGTAACTCACTAATTGATTTAAATAAATCAACTGGCAATGCTGATAATGCACTAATACAACTTACCACGTTAATTCAGGGTGGCCTGGTTTACGCGGCGTAAACAAGCATTAAACATTAAAGCATTAACCGAGGCGCTTACAGAATAGGCCTATTGTATGGTTTAAAAAACAAGTTAACTCGACATTTGATTAAAAATATATATAATATATTAATTTCGTATTCAGGGGAACACGTGCTGCTACCGTTATAAATGTATAATACACAATTTGAAATAAAAAGACTCAAAAACTTAAAATACAAATTAACAAAAAATACAAAAGAAGTTGAAAGAAAAAATAAGTCACAAAAAGAGAATTAGAATGCAAACTCCACACGTATATGAGATATAAAAAAGATATGTGGTATGGATGGATATGACAAATATTTCGAGCTAAGTTTTCAAGTGCTCTAAGTCACGTGACGTGGGGATGGGACTCATCCATAGATTTTACAGTATATTGTGGATGAAGCCATAATCGACTTCCTGCGCATTGTAGCTGTTCGTCAACTGCAAAAGGAGCAGCTATTAGCCCAAGTCGCGTAACAGATAAGAAACTCAATTTCTTATTTAGGAAATTGATTCTTTGTTGGGTAGTATAACACAACCAAAAAACTTATCTGTCAAATCTATATGTAAAATACACGCAATAACGCTTAAATACCAAATAAATATTATGTTATCTTTTATTTGAAGCAACCACTCGGACTGCCTCGTACCCGTGCCCACAAAAAAATTGCAGGTGAACGATCATCGATGACTTCTGCGGCAATGTAAAACTACCACCAGAAATCTGCCTCACGCTCAGGATACGAGACTCTTGTCTCGTCATCATGGTTGCGACAACTCTACGTTCGAGTAGAGAGTATGGGAAGACCTACTACAGAAATGATCCTGTGAAGTATGATCTTGTCTTTATCGTCGGAACGTTTTTCTTACGTTAAGTTCGAGTAACGTAGTATCAGCGAGTTATAACAACTAAACCTGGTGTTAAAAAGAGGTGGAGTATTATTTGCTAGTAGCGACATCTAGCAAGTCTACCGTGAACTGCGGGAGAAACGGGATTTTAGATACTTTGCTACTAAAAAAAATTGTGTAGAACGCCATAGAAAATATAGTACTATATTTTCTATGGTAGAACGCCCATTCGGTTACAGTGGCAACTGGCAACGTACTATTGGACGTATTTTTCAAAACGGCAGATACTTTCTGATCGCAAGTCTCGTTTAAGTTTCATGACCCATTACTTATGAATCACACTTTAATTATCACTTGGTTAAATGAAAAGGTTAAAGCAGTGATTTTTAGAAATGACAATTTTGAATATGTGTATTTCGGTTTTTAAAAGGAGGAGGTGACAACGAAATTGAAGTTTGGCAGCTCGTACTCTAAAAATTATGTATTGTTTACGTTAACAAATTGTTTTGCTGAATATTTTGGATACTATCCGAAGATTCCGAGGTGATATTATTACAATTAATAGGTGAACTTGTAGTTGATCCTAAAAATAGATATAAAGATTAGACATGGCAACACAAAAATAACACATCCTCTCTTCTATTATCTATGACACATCCATTCCGTAATCTATAGTGTACTGGTATGTTAAATCTATGTATAAAAATTAATGTATTTATCTTGTATACATAAGATTGGGGAAAGTCCAGCAAAAAGACAAATATTTGGACACATTTCCTTTAAACTAGATATTTTAATTTGGTAACAAAATTAAATTATTTAAATGGAACATTTTGGGAACATTGTAGGTTATGCTACAGTGTAATATAAGAGATGACAATTTTGAAGAAATAAAAGACCTCACCAGATATATTTCAGACGTTCTGCTGAAACTGGTAGGTTTAACTTATAACTTATTATTTTTTGTTAAGCAGCTTACTAACCTTAAAATGTAACATTGAGTTTTTTATTCCTACTAATATGAATTTATTTTTCAGAATTTTAAAGACAGTAGCAAACACATTGTGTGCAAAACTTGTTAACTGTTAGAAGCATTTAAATTTAAGTCAATGTGTCTCTTTACTGATACCACAATAATTCCTTATGTCGATAACAAAACTATATGTTCAGTTGCCTTAGAGAGATTTATGCAAAGGAAAAAGGAAACGATGAGTTAATCAATACATTAGATGACCATAAAATATGTCGATTATGTATGAAGTTAATAAGGGACGAATTTATATCAGTACATGAATTAAACTTGATATGATCGAGAAATATATACCAGAAAAAGTAAGTAAGGAACTAAATGAACATCTTACAGGTGTTTAATGAGGAAACATACATATCTTAAGAAAATATTCTGGCGGTAGACATAAGCAAAAAGTTTTATATGAACTAGAAAACCCTTTTCATAAATTTCTATATAAAGTTAGGTCAGGTTGTGTTCATATATGTAATAATATACTTAAGAATACTATTTACATATGTAATTGTAATATATTTTCTTGGAAGCAATGTACTTTCAGACCAAAATTGATATAAACTATATAACTTAATATTTGCACACTTCTTTGTGGGCTACCCTGTACACAAAAGCAAGTTTCATCTTATGTAAATCAAACCATTCTGTGTATATTTTAAAAAGTGTACTTTGTAGAATTTCAATATCGTCCAAGATCCCCTTTTTTGCAGATAATGTTTTGATTCTGTGAGTACTCAGTATGTTCATAAGGAAATGCTTAGAAGAAACATCCAAAGTATTGATAAGGCAGGAGTTCCTAGCGGTACTGCCTCAACCTCATCATTCGATTTATGCATTAAAACCGAATATATCGAAATAAAATCTGAAAGAAATGAACAGGAAGAAGAGTTTGTTGAAACTAAATTTACTGTAGTGAAATCTGAAGATGAACAGATGATGATAAAAACGGAGTGCATCGAAATAAAATCGGAAGATAACAATAAAGAAAGGTACTTCAGAAATGTACAAAATAAAAAATATATTTTTTATAAAACTACATTGCAGAAATTCGTTTTCATTCATTCCATATTATAATTATTTATGTAAAAACAATTAAAAATTTTTTTGTTTTTTTACATTTATATTTTTTATCAAGATATTTTATTAGATATCTACTAGCTCATGAAAATGACTTGCAACAAATTTCTGCATTTTTATTTGGGTATTATAGTTAATTTAATATTTATTTTTTTTTTTATAAAGGGACAGTTATATTTTGTTACAGTTAGGGTATAGATTTTAAGAACCCTTTGTATAAAATCTAGATCTGTAGTACTTAATCAGAACTACTATTTTTCAGTAACAAATCTGTGGTCATTCCGTCCCATGAAGATATTTCTGAAACATGTGACAAGACTGCTTTTATGCGCCACCAGTTTATGCATAGAGGCTCCATGAACACATGCCATTCTTGCGATTTCAATACTAAATATAAGAGAAATTTGAGGACTGACCAGTTACAACACAAAGACCCCTTGCAGATACGAATGTACATGTGTGATTTGTGTGATTATAAAACTAAATATAAGAGCTACCTCAGACCCCATCAGTTGAAACACGCGGACACTTCTGAGGTGAAAATGCACAAATGTGATTTTTGTGACTATAAAACTAAATATAAAAGCTGTGTTAGGTCCCATCAGAAAAGACACACAGATCCTTCGGCAGTTCGAATGTACAAATGCGATTTGTGTGATTTTACAACCAAATGTAGCAATTTCGGTATCAAGAGATTTACATCCCACCAGATGACACATGCATACCAGCAGCTGCATTCAGATGCAAAAGTGTGATTTGTGTTACTGCATGACCAACTGCAAGGACAAGCTTAAGCTCCACACGTTTACCCTTTGGTTATGAGATAGTTCAGATATAATGATCTTAAGTGCCTTCAGTTGAAACGTTAAGTCTTAAGAGATGTGAATGGATGCTCCAACTGGACGAACGTACAAGTGTGATTCGTGTGACTATAAAACTAAATATGAAGGCGGTCTTAAGTCCCATCAGAGAAAACATGCTGACCCTTCAAAAGCAGGAATATACAAGTGCGACTTGTATGATTTTACAAGCAAATGTAGCAACAGACTTAAGTTCCAGTGGCTGACCTATACAGGTTCTCCAAATATGCAAATTTACACTTGTGATTTGTGTTGCTTTATGACCAAATGTAAAGACAAGCTTAAGCTCCACGTTTGAAAACACACTGACCCTTCAGTTATGGGAATATTCAAATATAAGAATGGTTTTAAGTGCCATCAGTTGAAACGTGAAGTCTTAAGAGATATGAATGTACTTCCCAACCAAACAAATATAAGTGTGATTTGTGATTATAAAACTAAATATGACACGTGCGTACTAGTTGCTACATTCAAATGTAAACGTGTGATTTGTGTTACTACATGACCAAATGTAAAGACAAGCATAATCTCCACACACTGATTTTTTGATTATGGGATAGTATATCCTGTATATTAAAATGAGTACAGTCTGTACAATATTTGTTGAGATAGAATTCCAAGAAAGAAGTAAGCCAATAAAGTACTTGGATTATAATTATAAGAAAATCAGAAATAGGAATTCACTAGTGCGATTTGTGTGATTTTATAATGGACCGTAGGGTTGACCTTAAGTTTCACAAGTCAAAACACGAACCTGTCAAAAGCGTTAAGATACAAGTGTGATTCGTGTGATTTTATGACTAAAACTAAACGTATGTTAAAGCACCACCTGTTAAAACATGCAGACCCATCAAAGGTGCTGAAGCACAAATGTAATTTGTGCAACTTTGAAAGTAAATATAGGACCAGCCTGAAGTATCACCTACTGAAACATGCAGAATCCGTTTGATAATCTTCCCATATCCTCCTTAAAAAGGAAAATATATAAAAGCTTGGCAAGCGTAAATGTAAAAAAAGGATAGAAGAATCAGTATAATCTGACAGGTGTGGTTGTGGAACCTGGTCACACTCTAAACTGACTGCCTCTCTATAACAATTTTAAACTCTTTTATTATTCTTCCTACATAACCTATCTGTAAAATATAATAGTTCTACCACTGATTCTAATACTAAGGATTAGCTTAGAATTCAAAGACTTGTGCAGCAGTGGCGTAGCATTCTATTAATCGGTAGGTGATATTTACACTCAGAAATGGCTAAGTTCTAACTACTAGTTATACTGGCCAGTAATGCCAGTATCAATCTCTAAGGTAAATCCAAAACAATGTTATCCGACCATACCCACAGAGAGGGTAATATCACCTCTAGAATACAGCTGATTTATGGTCTTCCGGGGCTTGAATCCACTAGTAGCAAAATGGAATCAAGTACTAACGCATTAAACTACTTGGACACCAACCGACTCGTAATACTTATTAGTTATTTGTTTGGATCAATTTATTATAATACTGTATAGTTCTAAAATTAACTTCTATTGCTTTCTACAATACACATTTTGAATTAAAAAGTTTAGAAAACCAAGCCTATGCTACAATTAAACTGATAGTAAAAAGTAAGTTTTAATTTCCCTAACAAATGTAATCATTTAACAGAACTTGTAAAGGCTGTACGTGAAAAATATATTGATGCGAGAATAAATTGTGAAGTCAAAATATTTATTTCAGTAAAATCTATGAAAAGACAAATATTAAATAAACTAATATTAGTTAATAAAGGACAATAAATATATTTAAACTATTTTGTAGGTTTATTTAATATAAGCAAGGCATTAAAATATATTATTTTCTGAATTCCAAACTTGAAAATGAATATTTGTCATAAGTGTAAAAATATTGCGTAATCCGGACTTGTTCACAGGATGCGCGGTGAGATTATCTTGCATACTCCACTTCCCCGCAACTTGCCATCACTGGTATAGTCTTTCCGAAGTCAGTTGAGCATATAAAAAAACGCCTGCCAATAAAATTTAATGACACATAGGCGTCCCTAAAAAAGTTTTTTGTTAAAGGTAAAAAATTATAATAATTTGTATATATGTGTAGAAAATTTCAATTATATGCTGATTTGACCAACAACATATTTTAATTATTTATGTCCTCAAACAATTTTATTATATCGACAGTAAATTTCGTTTTGTTCCGTTTAAAAATTTGTCCATAATGCCATATTTGTGATAATATTAGTAAATAAAATATCCCTCTTATTTCTCCCTTTCGCAATTGTAATATGAATGATTAATAGAATGGTGCCTATAATAAATTAAAAATTATCTGAGTCACACCAAATTCCGCATTGCTGCACTGCACTGCCAGGCGACTTGTTGGCAACTGAAATTTATGAGGCAGCCGACCAGAACAACTGTGTGTGAACACCGTTTGCTCGCATGTGCATTTTTCAACTGGGTGTATACATTTCTACCACCTGCACGTTTGGTTCAATCACACCTGTATATGGTATGGCTAAATAAATATGGAAACAAGTTTTTCAAATATCTCAATGCCGAGTTGCTACGTAGGTACTGAGCCTAGTACATACTGTCAAGTCTTGGTTCTTCAACAGAAATCGGAAAGACTATACCGGTGCATTGGAATTGGATACAGCCAATTTAGGTGGTCTATGGGGTGTATACTACACAATTTACTAAAGCGTTTGACATCTTGACAAAACATTTCGATCAACGTTTACACTTTCAACCACCTGATTAGATCGTAGTTTTCGCAAAACTTCTTTCAGTTTACCATATATTCTGTTCCTCGGCACCCACATCTAAGCCACAGAAGATAAAACATCTGTTTTATCTTCCGTGTCTAAGAGTTGTTAATGTGACAATGACATTTAAGGTTATGTTTATTTACGTACGGGCGAAAGGAAGTTTATTAGTTAGAAAATATAAATGAGATGAAATTCTTTATTCCCTAGCAAAAAGAAAGATATTAGAAAATCCTTTTATGGCAGTTTATTAACAAGATAAATTGTTTAAATGGAGAATATTAAGGAGCAACATTGTAGGCTATGCCTCAATGTCATAAGCGATGATCAATTTGAAGAGATAGAAGAAGCTACCAGAAATATTTTTGACTTTCTTTTATTAAATCTGGTACGTTCATTAACAAGCTTAGCCAGTAAGTCTTAATGATTATATTAATCTAATTTTTAGGATTTTGTTGACTCGAATAAACACATAATATGTATCGATTGTTCACTACAGGTAAAAGAAGCATACGAATTTAAGTCGATGTGCCTCTATACTGACAACACCATAATTCCTCATGTCGATTATGAAACAGGATGTTCTGTTGACTTAAGAGAGATTTACGTAAAGGAAACAGAAAACAAACAACTCATGAATACATTAAATGATGATCATAAAGTTTGTCGGTTATGTATGCAGTTAACAAGCAGTGAATTTATGTCGGTACATAAATTAGAGGTTGATATGATCGAGAAATATATTCCAGAAATAGTAAGTGTATAGCGACATAGAGCAATATACAAAGGCATGCTGCATTTTTTAGCATTTCAATAACTATAAAAAAAATTAAGGTTGGACAGTTAAATTTTAAAAATGAACTTTGTAGAATTTCAGTGTCATCAAAGATCCCATTATTTGCAAACGGTGCTTTGTTTCCTTCAGTACCCACAGTGGTTTCATACAGAAATGCTTAAAAATAAAAGAAAACGTTAAGAGTGTTCATGGTACGAAAGTCACTGCCAGTAAGGGCTGGACTTCATCCTTAGTTTCGCCCGTTAAAGTTGAAGATATAAAAATAAAGTCCGAATTATGTGAACAGGAAAATGAGTTTATCAAAATAGGATCTACTGCACTGAAATCTGAAGATGAAGAGATGTTGATTAAAACTGAGTCTATAGATGTAAAAGCAGAAGCAAATGATAAAGAGAGGTAAACTTTATATCATTCTTAACTTTTTCACTGCGGTAATTGGTCTTGAGCTTTTAGAAAATTTGTTTTTTCTCCACCTTTGAAAGCACGTATATTATTTTTGGGGTAATAGTCTCTTCACAGACAGTAATGCATTTTTTTTCATACCTGGAGGGAAATTTATTTCAAATTCATTTTTGCAAATTTCTACTTTGTGCAGAACAGACAACCTATTCCGTTTCCATACATTCTCCGTAATATCTTCAACTTCCCACTGTGATTTTAAAATATGACTCAATAGTAATTAATTTTTTTAATATGTATCTCTTAAAATTTGTTATAGAAGAGGATAGAATTATATACATGATAAAATATATTATTGTCTTACTTATCAATCATGATTCAGATTGAATGGTGGATTTTGTATTTTTGACCTAGGATTTGTAATCAGTTACCCCAAAAATCCCGTATACAGGGTGTCCGGGAAAATGTGGGAAATCTCTTGGGTGTAGGTAGAACTTGAAAAAATGAGATGAAAATCGGTTTTTCTTGAATAACTTTTAAAGTATGTACTTAATATAATTTAAAAAAAATTTTATGTGATGGATACTAGTAACGACCTCTTAAAATAATGTCTTTGAAATATATTTAGCTTTTTTAGTTTACCAGGGGCGATAAAATGAACCGTTTACGAGAAAAAGAATAATAAACGAATTCATGTTTTATTTTTAATAAGCAAGGCCATGATTTCTACTTTTTTTTCTCGACAACAAAGTGACATCGCTGACACATTGATTCTTTACTTCATTATTAATTTACTTATTTTTGGATTTCGTGGTTGAATTTAATTGTGAATTAATTCTAAATATGGAATACAGGTTTATTGAGTATGTAGATATCCATTTCATGTATGGTCTTGCCTCTTGCAATGGTTTACAAGCCAGAAGGTTATTTCACGACAGATTTCCTAATTGTGCTCTGCCAAACTAGAAGACATTTCAACGAGTTGACAATCGTCTAAGGGAGAATGGTGGGCGATTCCAGATAATAAGGTAATACATATTATTGACTTTCTTCATATTAATTTGTAGAAAAATTTGAAATGTATGCAATTAGAGGAAAATATTTTAATTGCTGTAGAGGACACTCCATCAACGAGCATTCGAAAATTGTCAGCTTAATTTTTATAATTCCAGCTAATACTGAACCTATATGAGCAACTGAAGAATAAGCAATTAAAGACTTAATATCTCATCGAAAACAATAATACATGAAGTTATTCAAGAACAGCTGTTATATCCATACCATTTGCAAAAAATACATGAACTGATTCCTGAAAATTTTCCTTGTAGAATGCAGTTTGCAAACAGGCTATTGGACCAGCAACGAAATAATGTAAACTTCACTAGCACTATTCTTTTCACAGATGAAGCAAGGTTTATCAAAAATGGCATCACCAATTTACACCACACACATGTATGGGCCGATGAAAATCCTCATGCCACTATTGTTTAGCATCATCAACATCAGTTCCAATCAATTAACATCTGGGCAGGAATCATTGTCAATTTTTTTATTGGACCATTTGTATCACCGGAACGATCGAATGCACAACTTTATATGGAGTTCCTTCAGAACGCTTTTCAAGATTTAATAGAACACTTACCAATAATTGAAACCCACAAAACATGTCCTTCAGGGACACATATCTACAACAAATATAGAAATTAGTCATCTTATTTTTTCATGTTCTATCTGCACCCGAGGGATTTCCCACATTTTCCAGGACACCCTGTATATTTTCAGAAGAAAATTCCTCAAACCTCAAATGAGAGATATAACTTTTCTTTAACTTTAACATTGTGTACATCAAAAACGAGAGCCGCAAGGGCAGATGTTTGTATAAAACAACATTCTTAAATTTGGAGAAAACAGTTTATTTCTTATATGTTGTAGTGTTACAGTATTTAGCCGTAGAAACCATTTAGGCGACAATAATAATAAAAAAAATTTGGTCTATTGGTTGTCCACATTTCAGTAATTTAAAAAATTTATAGTAAATAAAAAAAATTCTGAGGTTATTTTAAGTAAAGACATGAGATAAAACCAAACTTTTCAAAAATCGATTAAAAAACTTCTCATATGAAGAAAAGTTAAATGAATATTTACTAAAAAGTAAACACTTTTCAGTTACATATTTCCGGACATTTCACCCCAAGAATTAGAAGACAAGGACATTCCCAAATTAGGCAAAGGTCAATTTGCATCGGAGCAGTTACCCACAATGTACATATGTGATAAATGTAATTTTCAAAGCAAACACAAGAAGAGTTTCATAGGTCACCAAATAGTACACAAGGACCCCTTGTCCGTGCAGTTGTACAAGTGTAATTTGTGCGATTTCCAATCCAAATATAACAGTTCTTTTAAGCGTCACATGTTGAATCATGCTAACGGCCCTACCCTTCCAAAAGCGCCAATGCTCAAGTTTGATATACTCAAGTGTGATTCTTGTGATTACAATACGAAATGTAAGAAGAACCTCAAGCGTCACCAAATGAAACACGTAAATCCCTCAGAGGTACAGCTCCACACTTGCGATCTGTGTGATTTTAAGTCGAAATATAAGGATAGCATAAGACTTCATCAGTTGAAACACGCTGATTCATCAGAAGTGCAGATGTACACCTGTGAGTTGTGTGATTTTAAGTCTAAATATAAAGTCAGTCTTAAGCATCACCAGTCGAAACACGCCAATCCCTCAATAATGGATATGTACCCGTGTGATCTGTGTGATTTTAATGCGAAATCCAAGAACAAACTCAAACTGCACAAGGCAAAACACGCGGAACTTTCACAGGCGCGGATGTACGAGTGCAATGAATGTAATTTGAAGTTCAAATATGAAGAGTCTTTTTGGCGGCATCAATTGAAACACACTAATCATCCGCAATCACCGACGTACAAGTGTGACTCGTGCGTTTTCACGACCAAAAGTAAGAGCGGTTTTAGGTCCCATAAGTTGCATCACGCTGACCCCTCGCAGATACAAACATACAAGTGTGATTTATGTGACTTTCAAACTAAATATAAGACCAATCTTAAAATCCACCTGACGGGTGTTCACAAATGCGATTTGTGCGATTTTATAGAGAAACGCAAGTTCGACCTAAAGTCCCACAAGTTGAAACACACAAACCACTCAGAAACGGGAATTCACAAGTGCGATTTGTGCGATTTCGTGGCGAAACGTAAATTCAACCTTAAATACCACAAGTTGAAACATGCCGATCCTTCGGCAGCGCCTGGGTCCCCCCTATCGTAACATGCAGATTCTGTTTGACAGACTTCTGAGGTCCTCTCTGGATGAGAAAGTTCAAAGTCAGAGTTTTCTCACTTAAAAATTGACAAACCTATAGCTTATTTAATTTTTAACATATTGTAAAAATCTATTTATATCAAGGCCTTCTGAATTAACTATTTAATTTAAAAATGGGGGATATTTAAGCTATAAAGCATGTCACATCTTAAAAGTCAATATATATTGATGAGAATAACAAGTTCAAAACCGGTCTGTATGCGTTGTGGTAATTCAATGTTAGTGGAGCTCGTGTTAGCCATTGAAATTTTTTTCTCTGCTCGATGGAGACTGTATAAAAAAATATTTACTTATTTTGAGTACAACTTCCCGGACAGATAAATTCCAATTGTAGGGCAGGAAAATACATAAATTTAAATTGAAATTAGTACCATAATAGAATATGGACTTACAAACAATAATAAAATAGTAACGATAAATAGAAAAAATGTATATGTATAAAGCGACAACTTTGAAGAATAAAACGAGGTTCTAAATACAACTTGATTTATTAGCAACGATCTTTCAATCACTATACAGAGTGTGAATCTTAGATGATTAACTAACTGAATAATTTAGAACCCAAATGGTGTTGATTTAACCAAACTCGCTTAAACGGAAAATATCGCAAAAAAGTTACAGGGTGTTTTTCTATTTTTATTTTTCGTTTTCTCCTTAACTCAGAACTCGGTTAACCGAGAAATAGGTAAAGAATTTTATTCTACACAAAAAATGTGTACCTACCAAAAGTTGACATTATGCTCGGTTATGAAGATATTACAAAAAATATTTATTAACACATACCCCATATTTTTTGGAAATGACTAAGTATCCATAACATGATAATTTCGATAAGTCACTGTCATGTTTGTATTTTGCAAAAATTTTGTTTCTGAAAATGTCTTGTCACAATGAATTTACGAATTATGAAATGAGAGACATGATAGTGGTATATGTACAGGAACATTTTAGTGGATGCACTGCTAAGAGAACATATGAACAACTTAAAAATAAAACGGAAGACAATTTGTGTATAAGTAAAAATGTATATCTATTTTATTGATTGAGGATTTTTATTAATTAAGGGTAATATATTGATGAAATTGGCTAAAGCAAATTTTTACGTGTCCAATCAGTAGCTAGAAATTCCACATTTTGCTAATGCATGAGACTTCAGGTTTATTACAAAATATATCTAGTTTTGTAAACTTACTTCTAATAGATATATTGACAACCTTAGAAGTTTCATGGTGAACTTTTACTGTTATATACTAAAAGGAGACGAGTAGTTTCCCTTTATATATTTCTTGTAAATGTCACAAGAAATTATTTTTATAACCTGTAAAGTTACAAAGCCCGCTATATATGATACCACATCTTCTACATACAGCGAAAGGTCAAACATGGTTTTTACGTAGTCATGTTCAAATAAAGAAATGACACTTAATGTACTTGTGTTTGGATCAGAAACTGGATCAGCTATTTTATTTGAAAAGTAATACCTAGGGATAATTTATATCTAAAACCGGCACTGCTTCAATGTGTTCTAAGACCTTGACTAGCTTTGCATTGTATATTTAATAAAATAAGACTTGATATTTAGCATATGTTAGGAAATCAAATTGAATCTGGTACCTTGAATCACGAAACACTTACACCCGTATGCACAGTCGATCGCCAGTGACTCGCCGAAGTTATACCTGGCGAAAGAACGGCGCGTAATTTCTATTGCATAGACGTTCGCCCGGCGATCTACGCTTTGGCGAATCGCCAGATGAGTGATAGTCTCCACTACAGGGGCTTAAACATGCGCAATGCTATTTTACACCGAATACGTACTGTTCTAACCTGAGTTTGTGCATGGTATGGTACTTTGAAATGTATTACTTTGAGCATCTCTGGTATATAGTTGTTTGTATCACAAAAATTATTGTCAAAGCATAATTATCGAAAGGGTTGTAACGGTAGTAAAAGACTAAATATAATTTTCCTTTTCGGCGTTAATAGCAGTTGTTAGTATATTAAGCTGTAGTAATAAAACGTCTCAAGTAATTTGTTTATTAGGGTACACTAGGAATTGGAAAGCCGTATTTATGAAATATTTAAGTAATTTTTGTATTAGGGTATACTAGAATAGTTTTTTCAATTACATGACTAACAGTGATCAGATTGTATACTCTTAAGACTCCACATATTATCTACAAATAATTATAATAGGTACATCAACGTATATCTTGTTTAAAATATTTCAAAGTACAATCTGTTTTACTTTACAATTTACAACAACGATTACAATTTCAATATACACCATGACTTACAAACGGTGACCAAAAATGAAACCTAGTATTCTTTGGTGAATTTTAAGGGGTCTTTCGTTTTTATCTAGGACGCTTCGTTAAAAAGATACAGGGTGTTAAAGTATTTTAAATAATATATAAACTACTCACTAAAATAATTTGAAATCGGGCACATGTATATATGTTAGAAACACGGGGATTTTCAACCCCCGATTAAAACACATAATTTTAACAGTCGGTTCATTCCCTCAAACGACAGAGTAGTCTCTTGTTTATTAGCTATGTCGGGACTCTGGTGACTCCCGTGACTGACTGACTGACCCTGCGGACCGCGCTCCATCGGCTGACCTCGACTGCTCGGGCATTCTGAAAGGGGTTCTGGCTGACTCAGTAATAGCGACTTAGTGGATGACATCCCTCTTTAATAATTAGCATTTAACATATATGTAAATATTGTCCAAAATCTGAGGCCTTTTTCTAAAAATTAGATGCTCCAGTATGCCAGTACATTATAGTAACAATCATGATATATTCGGATTCGTCTTTCAATTTTCTACAAATTACTACATTCTCATGTTTTTCGAAAAAAGACTGATTTTCGAGTACAACTTAAAAAACGAACTGAAAACACTTACTTAAATAACATGCAAACACTAATCATTCGGTTATTTAATCGAATAAAGAAATTAATAACATTAATCATTATTTTAATGATTTTATTTGAGTAAATGCTCAAAAATACCTCCATTTTCACGAACACATGCGTGACATCTTTTTAATTAAAGAAAATGTAATTTGTTCGAAATTTATTGTTGCTTGAATATGATGAAAAGCAAAGACCTCAGATGAAAAGCAATATTTATTCTTTTTTCGATCTGGTCAGAATTTCAAATTTGTTATTGCAGCCTACTATGTAACTTTAAACCGAATTTTATTCGAATATCGAAGTGTGTTTTCAGTTCGATTTTTAAGTTTTACTCGAAAATCAGACTTTTTTTCGAAAAACATAATAGTAGTAATTAGTAGAAAATTGAAAGATGAATTCGAAAATATCATGATTGATGATCGTAAAGCAGTGGCGTACTTTTTAATTTAGAAAAATATGCCACCGATAGCCTGTATCTCCGGCACTGGAGCATCTAAATTTTCGGAAAAAACCTCAGATTTTGGACAATGTTTACATAAATACATGTGCCCAATCTTTTTACCGAAGCGTCCTAAATAAATACTTTATACGATAGACTTCCCTAAAAATTCACCAAAGAATACTAGTTTTCATTTTTGGTCACCGTTTGTTAATCACCCTGTATAGGTGTGAGTATATCTAAATCAGAAATATTTCTATTTGCTATATACATGTTAAAATCATGATCAATTATTGGAACAATCTCAAAAACACAATAAAAATAGGTTACTTGCTTTCTGGAGAAACGCTGGAGATGCTACAGGCAATCTCCGGCGATTCTCTGGCGGTTCGCCATAAGTTTCATTAATGCGCATGCTTGACATAGCTGGCGAACGACTGTGCATTGAAAATCTCGTCCAGCGAACGGCGAATCTCTGGCGATCGACTATGCATATGGGCATTAGGTTAATATGATTGATATGATTTATTTTTATTATTATTTATATATAAGTATTAGTTAAGGTAAGTTATGTATATTTGTACATAATGTGTATTTTTATATGAATTTTTGTGATGTATTGATTTTAAATTTCAAAAAATGTTTGCTATTTTATATAAATAAACCACTTTTACTCTATTCTGGATTCCGTTTTACCGTACCCATTTTATTTTACATTCATCTAATATCTAATATTCTAATAAATTACAATTAACAAGTTGTATAATTAAATATACAAAATTGGTAATTTTGCTCTGTTAATAGTACATCAGTTATTAAGATTAAATAAATAAATAAGTAAATTAGTATATGTGTTATATGTTCTATAATATTTTTCCTATCTATAGTTTCATCTAGTTACATATACATATTTTGTTCAAGTCGGACCGAATATTACTGTCAGTTTGTTGTTCATTATCAACCACACATCAGATTACACTAAACACAAAACTTAAGTTACATAAAAATACCCAGTAAGGCAACTGTAACAGTCTTTAATGCATTCAGAAAGCATGAAACTTCAGGCCAATAAAATCATCTCACAGGCATGATTCTGTTGTAGTTCTGCTAGTAAACACTCAGCGACAAAATATTCAGCAAATGTTCTGTAAACGAAGTGAAATTTGACATCCAATTTTTGCACCACACCTATCTTCAACACTTTTATTTCCACATTTTTGTCGCTACGTTTATAGCTGAAAGAATAGCTACATTTATCTTTATCTGAGTAACTTTGGTGGTAAACAAGACAATGATCGAATTGTTCTGTAAGCGCTTGATTTGCTGCCCTATTCCCAGTTGGATTTCCTTTGTCCATAACTGTATCGCTTCTTCTCAATGAACAATTCATATAGTGTTGTAACGTTCATTATTTTTGTTAGTTTTGCTTCCGTTTCATGCCCTGCTATATACTCCTTGCATCCTCCCCAATCGGTTAAATTTCCACCGTCATTCTTAAGTGCAGAGGCAAACTGGCAAAGTGACTTTCTTTATTATCCTCATAGTGGGTCCATGAAATGTTACTTATGAGTGCCTCGGCATACATTTAGCTTTAGTCGTGCAGTCTTCCGGTTTCAAATTATGGAACCAACAACCCGTCCGGAAGTCCAACTGATTTTCTTCTGTGAACGGTTGCAATACTTACAGATGTACTTTCAAAGTTATCTCCAAATCTTTAGACATGTACGATTTGGTAGTAACTAAGATTTTGACAAGATTAGATTCTTCCAGACAACTCCAACATGAAGTCATCGAGCTTGGCGGCAACTTCGTTTTTTGAGGAGAGCATCCAATCTTTGAGTTTGCTAGATGCATTTAACAGAATCATGGACGGAAAGCTGTTAACTTGGAACTGCACCCTGCCAAGCTCCGCACTGCCCTTGCTTTTTCTGTACGTGGCCTCCATCTCTGAATTGCGGTGACTACCCTGAAAACAAGATTGATCATTATCACCTACTGTATGTTTCAAATATAGTGGCTTCTCACTTTAAATAATAATACAGGAAAATAAATGGGGGAAAAATGTGAACAAAATAGTGAATATGTTAAAAATTGTAAAAATTTCAATTTGTTGACAAATACGAAACTTTTTATTTTAAATAGTTTGAAATAGCCACCAATTTCGTTGATTTTTAAAAATAATATAGTGTAGGGTGTAGAGTTGTGTAGGTGTTACCTTACGTACAGATAATTTACTTCCATTGTAAGCAAAATAGTACTTAGTTTTAGAAATGTAAATTCTTGCACTGATATTTCTGGGTATGTTTATGTAACAAATCAATCCTCTGATCCTTTTGAGATGCCAAGTGGTTAATAACTTAAAAATGTATTGAGCAAACTTTTTTTTTGTTTTTAAATAAATCATAAAATATTGAGACGCTATTAAGTGATTACTGAAGCCAAATCTGTGTTTGATCTCAGAATATCAAATTTCTAATAAAGTTTTACTTGTTTACTTAGTGTTTATATAGTTTTAAATATTAATTTATGTATATGTACTGAAAAAACATCCATGTGCTAGCAAAATAACTTGTAACAGTGTATATTACAGTAGCCAGGTCACTGAACTTAATTGCTTAAATATCTAATATAAACAAAGCAATTGATACTGCACATAAAGGAGAGACATGGTAAGAATCGATGATTAACTATCGATAGTCTGTTTTTTTGCAAATAGGTTCTAAAAACGGGCATATTAAGAAATTACAACTTCCGCAAAATTAAAAATCATACACCCGCTATAACTTTTTTTGGGTCCAGCTTTTTAGAAAATGTTGATAAAATTCTCTTTAAATTCATCGTGAAGTTCTTGCAATTTTAACACTTCGGGGCGGACAATTGCTCAAAAGAAAACTAATTAATTAATTACCAAAAACATTTTAGATATTGTGTGCTGTTAGGGGCCGATCACTCTGTAAATACACATGATCAATCAGTTGCAGTTTGAAGTGCTTACCTCCATGTTTATCGGATGACGCCGTACTTAATAAACGACTTCCTGCATGGTTGAAAAAAAAATGTACAAAAGTAAGAACATCACGCATGAGTTGCTGATTTATGTGAAATATGTAACGCCACTTTGACACTGCTTAAAAAAATTGTAAATATTCTTTGTCCATTCTACTACATATAAACTGCAAAGCGATAAATATTTGTATTGTATATATTTCATAGACATAAACCACACCCTCACTATTAAATTACTGGACTGGCCCAACTGTCATTTTACCTATATAATCGACAATTGCTCAGGCGTGTGCAAGAGAGATGGAGCAAGTAAGGGTTTAAGCTTCTTTCACACAGATCACAAAACCGTTCCAACTTCGTGTCATTTTCAGACCGCGCGCCATTATTTCATGACTAGAAATTGGCCTTAATGATTTGGCCGTGCGGAGGGCTATGTTTTCCACAGCCTGTAGTGACTTTAAGCGGCTTTTTGCCGCGTGACTCCACGTCGTGGAGGCGTAGGTTAGCTGCGGTTGAAGTACCACCTTGATAAGCGTTCGCTTATTCCTTAAACTGAGGGTGTTTCCACCTTTGAGTAAGGGATAGAGCCTAGCCCTGGTGGTCTTCGCTCGCGCCACCGTCTCCACGATGTGCGGTTTCCACGTGAGACGCTGGTCCATCGTCACGCCCAGGTATCGTGTTTGTCGATTCCAGGAGATGGGTTCCTGAGATAGTGTCAGTCTGTCGAGGTTTTATGGGACTTTTCGTTTGGTAAAAAGGATAGCCGAACTTTTGTTGGGATTAATTTTGACTTTCCACCTGTTGCACCAGGTTTCAAGTTGGTCTAAGAAGTTTTGCAGGAGGGAGACTGAATATCTAGGATCTACGGGTTGGGATGTGATTGTCAGGTCGTCGGGGCACAGATATATGTTGGTGTTGGGGGGATGTGGGATGTCGGAGTTGTAAATGGTGTATA